TGACTTTAAAAAATAATTGTAAACTGAGGGTCGATTGAGAACTCTGCAGCACAGCTTGACGTCTGCTCTCTTCTCTTGGAGCCCACTGAGCGTTAAACACGCTGCTGGTCGCTAACGAGCAACACGCACACACACTCACATTGCTGTGTAAGTCCGTTCCCATCCGACCGCCGATTCGTCCGTCCATCCATCCATTAATTCGTGCATTGGACTGTCGGTCATTCGGTCCTTTGGGCCGTTGATCGATTGGTCTATTGGTCTTTCCGTCAGTTAGTCGGTTCTCCTGTCCATCGGTCCGTCCATCCGTCGGTATCTGTTTTTCTTTCCATCTGTCGGTCCCGTCCACCAACTCGAACTCGGCTGACGAGAGCCGGCTATTGTTTTTTTTTCGTGAGCTCAGAGATCAGAAATGCTGGGTTTCCTGCAAGACGGTGGGATTCTTGCGGGCGGTGGGATTTTTGCATGCGGGGAGCGCTTGGTCGCTGGGGGTGTTTTGGCGTGACTCTGCGCGCTCTCGCTACCCCTTCTGCGGGCGAGACGCACAATGGCTGTGGCTGCTGGCGGTGAAGGGGTCCAATTACCGCGCCCTTCTCACGTTTCTCCTCCGACGCTGGCGCGCACTGCACGCACTTTAATTGACGTCAAATGGAAGGTTACGTTTTCGTCCGAATTCCTCAAATCGCGTGCGGTAACATTCGACCTGCGCAGAGAGAAACCTAAACCATTTTCTACACACCGTGTCATCAACATCATCCGTGATTTATCCACGGATGATTGATGTATGTCGGTATGTTGAACTTCTTTTGAACCGTACATGACAAAGGCCTCTCCTCGCTGCCACCTCTAATTATTTTAATTATTATTAATTGCTCCATCTCTGCGGTGGACGTCCTCTTGGGCGAGTTTCTTCGTGTGGCTGCCCCCTCTGCTCTTAGTCTTGACCACCGGCCATCATTCCTTCTAGCAACCTATCACAGGATTATTAGAAGCACCAAATATTGTTCCACCAATATCGTTATTTTGTTTGTTCGCGTTAAACAATTCACCACCAATTCAGTGCTTTGGGAGAAGTCTTCTTGTTCCTGTCGTGTGTTGCCACCACATTCCGACATTGGGCACGTGGTGATAATGATTTGGCCAGCAGTGGATAGACCATGGCTGATGATGCCCGGCTCCACCAGGAGCCGAAGGACCAACAGATGCTTCACGCGTTGTGTCTCACCGCAGTGACACGAGGCGGTGTCGTTAGAGTGGCCGCACCTTCTCCGAAAGTTGACTCTCGACCCGCCGACCGCCCTCGGAAGGCGATTTAAACTCACCCAGGCGGTTCGGATTCCATTTGAAGAACCTCTTCTTTCTCGGGAGACATTTTTAACCGTCTCATTCATATCATATATTATTTACCCTGTGTTGTTTGCATAGCTCTGTTCACTCCGTAAGCCTAAATGTAACATTAGCACATAATTTGCATATACTTTGCATAAACCGTAAACAGTTGATTCTGACAGTCACAATTCAAAACATGTATCATGGTCAAAAATAATTGATTTTAATCGATGAATCGACGCATCATTACATGCATAATTGCCAGAGTCTGCTGAATTTCACCGAGTCCTCCGTGCGTGCAGTTATTACTTACGGTATTTCATCATCGTTTCAGCAGTGGTTATAGCTGAAAAGCCAGCAATGCACTGCTTCAGGAAATGCCGGCGGTTGTTCTTTTGCGTTTGCCCAATGGCTGTGGGCTTTTGACCCATTCCTTTGCGACCCGTTTGAAACTTGTGACAAGGCAGCTCGGCGGGGTGCGGTGGTGGCAGCGATCATGGCCACTGAACCTCGGTGCCCGTGACTGACCCACTGGCGACGTTTGCCCGCAGCATTCGCGCGGCTTGTGAGACGCGCGACGCTCCACGTGCCACCCTCTTGGTTATCGCTTGGGAGAGCTCCGCCATACAATTGTCTCCACCCGCTGCGGAAGGTGACTGTGGGTAACCCTGACCGGGCCGTGGAGTGTCAGACCGTTGTGACCCTCACAAAGTTCAGCGGAGGCATTGAGGTCAACCTCATTCGACTTTTCCCGAGGCTTCCGCTTCGGCTGTGGGACATGGACATTGGACAGATTCGTTGCTATGAAACGCACATCGCGGACTCTTGGCAGTTGTTGTCCGTTCGTAAAAGTTTTACGTCCAGCCTCGCTTGGACATCGCTGTCGGCGCCGCCACATCTGAACGAGGTGCGGACGGTCTGTGGTGTCGTCTGGCCGAGGCATCGCCGCTCGGTAACATCCTGCCTCTCCCTGCTCCTGCGTGCACGTGGTGCCTGGGAGGCGAGCGCTTGGCGAGGATCTTGGTTTTCGTGTCTCTGTTGGTGGCGACAACGTGGCCACTTGCGGCACGGCGTAGATGGTGAGGTGTCGGGCTCAAGACTGAGCGCCGCCCTGGGTAAATGGTTTATGGTTGTCATTGTCATCATCATCTTCCCAATTCTTGTCATGGTCATCTTCACCATAATCATCACCATGATGGTCATCACCATGATGATCATCACCATGGTCATCATCATCGTTATCATGGTCGATGAAACACGTACCACCTGGTGAGGCTGCATCACTTGGTGGGAAGTCATTGGTAGTTGTGGTATGTGGACTTGTCCTTGCCATAAGAACATGGAAATTCCAGTCCTGGTTCAGCACCCCCCCCCCCCCCTCCCTATTGGAGGCAAGCACTGCACAATGCTTGTTTGAGCAAAGGTGGGGCTCGACTTATTTGAATGAGACAATAAAACAAATTCCAGCAACTACAGCTCTTAGACGTTGACGTCATTAAGCAGTAATACGAATGCGATCTGTCACGAGCGTTATGACACGCATCCTGTAAGTCATACTGAATATCCCCTATGATACTATCGAGCGCTCGCGGATAATTAAGACATTAATACTTTAATAACTTATTTGCTCCTTTTGCCAAGTCCAGCAAAAAAGTGCCTCCAAACACAGACGCTTCCATTGAAGAAAACTAAAATAACCCAAGACATCGTCGTTTAGATATTTGACATTTCAACAGATATGCCGGCGTCGTTCCCAGCCATTGTGAACTTTTGTTGTTGATAGGCGGTGGACCTCGCACCGCAACCCAACGCAGTGGATCGAGTTTCCCTCCGACTGGAGGCCGCCTTCTGCATTATTAATCTCCTGTTTGGCTGCGGGCCTCGGGGAGGCTTTTAAACAAAATCCTTCTTGAACAATTACCCCATTCTCTTTCTATGACTGTCTTCGTAATAATCACCGCCGCCACACCGTTCCAATTTTCTTCTCGCTTGCCATCGTCTGCTTCGTCTTCGTCTTCTGTGTGTGGTGTGGCGTTTATCAGCAACGTTCGTACGTTCGTGCGGAGGTGGCGAGTGTGCCAGTGGATAGCTTCGGGAGTAGCCACAATGCGAATATCTGAAACGCTGCTTGGCGATCGATGGAAGAGGGCAGTGGATCTACTGTGTGGTCCATGGTTTGAGATGTAGACTCGCATGGAGATTCAGTCTCATATAGAGAGCCACAGACTCGCAGAGAGACCCATAGACTCACATATCTGAAATGCTGGTGTAAATATGTATGTTGAACTTCTTTTACACTGTACGTAGAAAACCGTGCTAATTGGAGGTGCGGGGGGAGGACAACAAACTAAACACAAAAAGCAGTTCTCACGAAATGAGGTTTCAACGAAGTTGATTTAAACGTGCACGGCTCCAGTGGCTTCCTAATATCGGAAGGAAGAGCTGTTCCAGACGGCCACAGAAGCGCGTCTGAAAGCGCCGTGCAATGCGGTGCCCACCGCCTTTGTTCGACGGCGAGCCAACAGCAGCTCCTGCTGCTGCGAGTGGCCCGTGGCGTCGGCAATGAGCCGGTCCCCATCGCCTGGCGAGGGGAGCCGGTCCCGTTCACCTGGCGAGGGGAGCCGGTCCTGTTCACTTGACGAGGGGAGTCGGTCCCGGGTTTGCTCGCGTTGCCCCCAGCCCCCAGCCCCACCCCCAGCCCCTCCGTGCACGCCCTGCGGGGTCAGTGGCTGGGGGCGGTGACCCCCGAGCGCTCAGTCCCCCGCGGGCTGTGGGGCACCCCCCCCCCCCCCCCCCCCCGAGTGCTTCGTCACCGGCACCGTCCGCCGTCGTGGCAGCGCCCCAGCCTGCCCTGGACGAGCCTCTTGGTGAAGAGGTTTTATTTCATTTGACTGTGAAGGGTTTCGGTGGTGGGGGAGGAGGGGGGGAGAAGCTGCCAGCGCACGTGGCCGCGTCCGCTGCCGCCTTCTCGCCGAGAGGTGCGATAGTGCAGTACGAGACTCTCATCATCATCGTCGTCATCTGGGTTTGCGTGGCATCTGTACAATACAATACGGTATGATGTGGACGTATCTTAACCGTACCTCCTCCAGGTGCTGTGCGGATAAGGTGAGTGTCTGTGTGGGTGTAGATGGTCTGACTGCTGTGAGTCTGTGGGCTCCTGTGTGAGTGAATGGGTCCGTGGGTCTCCGTGCTGCTGCCACGGGACCGCCTGGCGCTGCGCGGGGGATCGACGACGTGGCCGTGTCCGCTCGCTGCCCCCTCTCACTGCCCCCTCTCTCCCTGCCCCCTCTCTGTCCCTCCCTGCTCCTCTCTCACTGCCCCTCTCTCACTGCCCCTCTCCCTGTCTCTCACTGCCCTTCTCTGTCCCTCCCTGCCTCCTCTCTCCCTGCCCCCTCTCGCTGCCCCCTCTCTCCCTGCCCCCTCTCTCCCTGCCCCCTCTCACTGCCCCCTCTCTCCCTGCCCCCTTTCCCTGCCCCTCTCTCGTTGCCCCCTCTCCCTGCCCCCTCTCCCTGCCCCCTCTCACTGCCCCCTCTCTCCCTGCCCCCTCTCTCCCTGCCCCCTCTCTCCCTGCCCCCTCTCACTGCCCCCTCTCTCCCTGCCCCCTCTCTCCCTGCCCCCTCTCTCCCTGCCCCCTCTCCCTGCCCCCTCTCCCTGCCCCTCTCACGCCGCAGGTGGCACGCGAGGCTGGTGGCGCTCGCGCGCGGGAGCCGCACGAACCACGTCAAGAAGCGCAGGGCAGAGGTGCAGCTTGAGCAGGTACGTGTTGTCTGTGCGTGTGTGTGTAAGGTGTGTCTCTGTGTGTGTAGGGTGTGTGTGTAGGGTGTGTTGTCTCTGCCTGTGTGTGTGTGTGGGGTATAGGGTGTGTGTGTGTCTGTGTGTGTGTGTGTAGGGTGTGTGTGTCTGTGTGTGTGTGTAGGGTGTAGGGTGCGTGTGTGTCTCTGTGTGGGTGTGTAGGGTGTGTGTGTCTCTGTGTGTGTGTAGGGTATGTGTGTAGGATGTAGGGTGCGTGTGTGTAGGGTGTAGGGTGCGTGTGTGTAGGGTGTAGGGTGCGTGTGTGTAGGGTGTAGGGTGTGTGTGTGTAGGGTGTGTGTGTGTCTCTGTGTGTGTGTGTAGGGTATGTGTGTAGGATGTAGGGTGCGTGTGTGTAGGGTGTAGGGTGCGTGTGTGTAGGGTGTAGGGTGTGTGTGTGTGTAGGGTGTGTGTGTGATCTTGCCAGCGGGCGTTCGATACTTCACGTGGCCTTAACGTGCACCTAGCCTGGCACAAGCGCCGTGGTGCTTGTTGTTGCGGTTGTTGTGTGCGTATGCGCGCACGGGCACGTGTCGTCTGACTGGGTCTCTAATGTCTTTATTGCGGCTCAGCGGGAGCCCAGTACAGAGCATTGCTCACAACGGGGGGGGGGGGGGGAACAGAAACTCTGTGGACCCGCCAGGGCTTAACGAGGGGGGACATTCTGGGGAGGTCACGAGGGGGGGGGGGACATTCTGGGGAGGTCACGAGGGGGGGGGGGGACATTCTGGGGAGGTCACGAGGGGGGGGGGGGACATTCTGGGTGAGTACCGAGGGGGGAGATAACGAACGCAATGTGGGGTAGAGAGGGGGATGGCAAAGGGTGGGGAGGGGGGGGGGATCCTGCTGGATCTTAGGATTCTTGCGAGCGAACACAGGCAAGAGGTGTTTACTTACGACCACTTGGGAGCCGGTGGGGTCTCTGTTGCAGGGGACACCGCCTGAGATGGCAAAAGTCAGACGCAGAGAAAAGTTCGAGGAGCAGGTGAAAGTTGCGATATCGAACAGCGGTGGCTGAACCTTTCACTGACGCGTCGGCTAAACAGGCGCACGCAGTCGTCACCAATCTTCAAACGTCGTTGATATTTTGTATTGTTATTTTGTATTGTTATTTTGTATTGTTATTTTGTATTGTTATTTTGTATTGTTATTATTAAACCTGTGCGCTTAATCTGATCAGCGTGGCGAGATACAAACAAATAACACCCCACGATTGGAGGCCATCATCCAGCAGTGGATTGATGAAGGGCTGCCCTGTACGTGTGTGTGTACAGTGTATGATATGGCTGTGTCAAGCTGTGTGTGAATGTTATGATGTGTCGATTGTGCTGAGGCTCGCTACGAGCAGTCATCGCTCCGTGGGAGTGTCTGTGGACAAAGCCACGAGACCATGAAGAGCACAACACATCCACCCCCATCTTTTCTATTTTTGGGGGCCGGACAGGTTTCCCGAGATTTCTCGCCGACTGCCCTCACTGTTCTTCCAGTCGCTTCTCGCTTGGACTAAAGGAAATGGTTACTGACGAGTCGCAGCAAAACCGACACCTGAATATGTTTCATTGATCTATCTATTGATCTGTCCTGGATAAATCCGATGAGCTGTGAAGTTCTTTTTCACAGATGTCCAGATAGGAGTGCAAAGTACAGTGAAGGTAAGGAAATCACTGTCAGTAAATAAATTAACTGGAACTAAACATTACATTTTTTTAACCAGGTATTCTGTTTCAGAAACGTCCTGACCACAAATGATAGTTCAATGAAATGGCTTTAGCAAGTGGAAATTTATAGCAGTCAAATACTCTAAACGTTTGTTGACCCAAGACTCCTTGTCGAGGAGGGCCCTGCTTCAGATGATGTTTTGAAATACGAATTTGCATCTGGGAGGAAACTGGAGTACCCGGAAAAAAGTCGCCCTCACACAATCCCGTGCAGTTTGTTTTTGCGTGGCGTCCACATGCGACTGCATCTCAAGACAAAGGCGGTCGCGGCATCGCGCGCTTTCAGATGCCCCTCTGCGGCCGTCCGGAACGCTCTTCCGATATTAGGAAGCCACTGGAGCTATGCACTTTGAAATCAAAATTATACAACTCATTTCTTTCGAACTGCTTTTTGTGTTGAGTTGGTTGTCCTTCCCCCGCGCCTCCGATTTGCACGGTGAGCTACGTACGGTGCGAAGGAAGTTCAACGTGTATACATTCACGACGCTGTCACGATGGCAGCGGAGGTAATTTAATTCCTCCCCCCGTGCCACACGCGTGTCCCCTGTGTCACCGCGTGTCACCGACACCCGGGGGAAGCATCCTTCACGTCTCTCTGCGAGCGCCGTCTCAAGTTGTCTCGCGTCGTCTCGAAATGAAGACGAAGGGAGAGCAGGCGCGTCCCCCACGCGGCGCGGCGATGCCGGCGATACGAGACGCGACGACACTCGATAGCGTCATTAGTCGGTGTGTGTCCGCGTCAGGAATTAGCCCACGGGCCCTCACGATTTTTTTTATTGCGGAGGAAAAATGTAAATAAAATGAGGTGCTAAACATAATGGGTGCTTTTATAGACTTGAGCAGCACTCATTGTACTTAGGCCGAGCAGTGATGCATTCTGGGAGCTTCCGTGCTTGTCAGGTATGCAAATATAAATATATGGGGAACTCGATTTCTTTGAACATTTCAATTAAGCGAACATACACTCATTACTGTCAGCGACTTGCGTGTGTGTGCCTGGCGTTGTGACGATGGTGGCGCGTGCGTCGATGCACAGACAACTTCTGCATGAGCAGCTTCTGTTCCTTTGCTGCGTTGTGTTCCCACTGTGGGTGTGTGTGATTTTGGGTTCACTTTGTTTCCATACACTATGATTATACATGAATATCCATTCACAGTCCTTGTTGACCCCCTGCTGGGTGAAGTATTCGCCAGTGGGGTAGTCTATTCGCTCTCAGGTTTCGACTGTAGCACAGCACAGCAAGATCCACTCTTGTAAACAATATCACAGCTTCCTTTAAAGTCTAGCACTTAGCGTATGGACTTCTTGAGGAATATCTTCAGTCATTGGTAATTTTGCCAAAGCAAAATTCACGGTCCACTTTGACTGTATAGCATTTTCCAAACATATGAGATGAGTTCCAGCAAGAGAGGAAGAAGCAAGAATGTGACCCCACTTTGTTCAATATGATGGGGTCATCATTCAGGAACCAGCGCACAAATGGTGGCCGGGTGGCACAAGGGTCAAGTCACGGAGCCTGCAATGCTGAGTTCCTGGGTTCAAGTCCAGGTTTCAGCCGCTTGTAATTAAACCGGGTTCTTAATTGTAGTGAGTTAGTTGATGGTCTCGACATGGTCATTAGTGACTGCACAAAGAAAATATAAAGTAAAATGAGAGATTTCACTTAATTCGTTATAGTCTGTGTATGCAATGATTTTTTAAATATTTGACTCGTAGTGTGGGTGGAGAGGTCTGTAATGCGTGGTGATACACTGCTCACTTTGCATCACCACGTGTTAACACAGTTCACATTTGATTTGGAAAAAAGCAACAACAAAATGACCAAAATACATAATAGGAAGTAACACATGGCAATAGGTAGCAGTGATGGTTGGTCAGGGTGGGAGGGATATGAGCAGAGGGTGGAAGGGAGGGGGGATGGGGAGATAGGGTGGGAGGGAGACAGGGTGGGAGGGAGATCAGAGGGCAAGGGCTGTTCGGTACAGCACCACTTATTCCTCCTCTGTTGTCGCGTTCCGCACGTCCGCTTTGTGCCCGACTTCACCACCCGTACGCCGTTTCGGCAGAACTCCAAGTGTCGGCGTGTTTTGCCCTCGCGATGTCCTGCGCTGTTACCCCCCACAATGCCCCCCGACCTTCTGAACGAAGCCTCCTCCGCCGGCCGATCCAGACCGTTAATCCCACGCGCCCGGGCCAAGACGTCACGACGAGGTCCGCTTCCCACACGGCCTCGTACGCCGCCGATAAATGAGCGCTTGTTGCGGGCGGGGTTCACGCCCTCGTGGTCTCCGCCAAAAGCTGCGCGTGTTTCCACGTCCCATTCATCGATTCGCTCGTTCACTCACTCGGCCACTCGTTGCCCCCCACTACCCCCCCCCACCTCTTCCGCGTTCGATGCCAAACGCTGCGGTGCAGGGGGCACAAAGTGGCCAGCAGAGGTGCTGGGAGCTGTTTGTCCCCAGAAGTGCTCGTGGCCGTTGGCCGAGCGTGGTTGGCACGGATCCTGGTGCAAGTCGAGTCATGCAGTTGGGCTTCCTCTCTCATTGGCCCGGCACCTGGGCCTGTGCAGGCCCGTGGGCCCTGGTAAAGTCCCACCTCCTGATGAGCGCCTGACAGCTCGGCCACCGCATCATCGCGCGGCGCTTTTCATGATGCGCTTCTGCGGCCGTCTGGAACGCTCTTCCTTCCGATGTTAGGATGCCACTGGGAGATATGCACTTTAAAAAATAATCTAGATTGAAAAACTTATTTTTTTAACTGCTTGTTTTGGTGTGAAACGTCCAACATACATGCATATGTACACTGCCCATGGTTCTCCGTAAACTCCACGGCTGAATGCATCATCGGCGATGTGCTCATTGTGATGTGGAGCGTTGTGTAATCTCGTGGAGGTGTCGGTGAGCCACGCTGGAGCAGCATGTGTGAGACTCCCACATACTATTTGTATCAGGCAGGAGAGTAATTACGTCTGTAATTAAAAGTACGGCGAGGTTTTACTGCTCTCCCCTCATATGCGTGGGGCTTGCCCCCCATTTCTCTACGCATGGAAATAATTTGGTGGTAAAGAAATTGCCTGGAAATTCGAATTGAGGACCCTCATAGAAATTATTTTTAAGACTCCGAGAGGCATTTGTTGTGGAAACAAAGAAACGATTATTTTTGAGAGATAGACATTGTGAGCATTCACGACTGCTGAAATAAAAACTTTGTGATACTGAATCTGGCAGTGGTGCGCAAGCTTAAAACAACAAAAACTCAACATCTTCTTGGTTCTTTCGGTAAAGTCACGTAGAATGGAAATAATAAAATAATAAAATAAAGCATAATAAAATAATTCTCACGACGTTTCGGCTACAATGCAAGCAGCCGTCCTCAGGTGAAGACCAGGTCTGTCGGGGAGACAGCGTCCATTCTACGTGACTTTACCGAAAGAACCAAGAAGATGAATCCCTGCAGTCACGAAAGCTTTAAATAAAAAAACTCAACACGTTCGTCAAGTATGCTTGTCTAAGAGCAGAAAAGTATTTAGTTGATGACAGTTTAGGCAATTGCCCTTCTCTATAGCAGAGAGATAGAGAGGCCAGGGAGGCTGCGTGAATAATAGCTGGAGACTGCTGTACGCACCATGGGGCCCGGCTTATAATGCAAATCCGTGGACTCCGGCAAGAACAGAAGGTTGTGTGTTTCACGTAGACGGAGCGGTGTGCGCGCGTAGCCGTGTTGTGGTCCGCTGCCAGCCCTCGCCTCGCCTCTGGCCCAGCCTCGCCGCCTCTAACCCGGCGCTCGTTTCCGCGCAGGACGTGATCGTGACCCACGCGGTGCAGGTGGACATGTCCATCCCGGTGGATCCGGCGCACCGGAGCCCCAACGCGGAGAGGATGGACCCCCCGCGGTGCTCGGTGACGCGGTGCCCGGCCGGTACGGTCCTCGTGTGGCACGATACCAAGATCCTCGAGTCCTGTCCACTGCTCCTCGGGACAGGCTCCGAGTTGTTGCAGAGGCCGCTCGGGTGATGAAAGCGCTGAGCTGGCCCCGCTGCCGAGGCCCCGCCCCCCCGTGTTTGGATGTGGGCTTTAGACCGGCTTAGCAAGAGTTGTCAGTAAATGGTCTTGGCCTTTTCAACCATTGCTTGTACCAACAACAACAAAACGCCTTCATATGACTTTGTTTTTGTGCATAATTGGTCCAAATTTCAGACTTTAAAATATTGGTTTGGCTGAAATTTAATGACAATTACTCTGTAGCAGGGCGTGTATAAAGGTGCTCGCCCTGAGTGTGACATACAGCAAGAGGTCACTTGAATGGATCTCATTACATGATGCCAATAGCAAAATTGTGGTGTTCAATTTTAGTGTCAGCCAGGTCACCAACGACTGTCTCGAAAACACCCCCCATCATAAGAAAGTAGTTTTTTTGCACTTAATTCGATGAAATTCCATCACTGAGAATAAAAGAAATCAGTTTGACTGTCAAAAGATTATCCGTTCGTCTCTAACTGCTAACCCCGGTGATTCTCAGGCGTGGGCGCCCGGCCAGACCGCCCGCCCAGCGGCACCTTCTCCTTCGAGCCAGGCCGCGCACCGGGCCCACCCGGGCCCCGGCGCGACGACGGAGCCGCCGGCAACGCCGTCGCGCTCCCACAACGGCTCCCGCGGCGACGAGCGTGACCACCGCCGCCAGCTGCCTCCGTCGTCCCCGCACGGCGCCCAGCGCTCGTCGGCGGCGCCGCCGCCCCGGGAAGGCGTCTCGGCGTTACCGCGCGGCCGCTCCCCGAGACCCGGGGGCCCCGCGCCGCCGCAAGACGCCCGAGACTTCTGGCCGCCGACGCCCAGGGGCCGCTCTCCTGAGGCGCGGCACGACTCCGCGTCGCAGGCCCAGGCCCCCTCCGCCGACCGCGCCAACGGCACGCGGTCCCCGTATCCCCGGGGCCGATCTCCGGGGCCTCGAGGTCCGCTCGAGCACGCCGGCGGCAACGGCGGCGGTGGTGGCGGCGGGGGCGGCGGCGGCGGTAATTGGCGGATCGGCGACAGAGACGATGACGATGATGACGACGGCGGCGACCACCGGAGGAGGACCAGAGGCGGGGGGGGCGCGACGCCGAACGCGGGGGGCGTCCCGTACCCGCGGCTCGCCAGCACGTCGGATTCAGACACGAGCGGCGGCGGCGGGAGAGAGTACGCGAGCCTGGCGGACGTGCCGCGCGCCCGGCGCATCGGCCACCGCGACACCTTCGTGGCGGAGAAGCGGCGGCTGGAGCACAAGCTGCGCACGCGGAGCCCCGGGCGCGACGAGGTGGAGCGACTCTTCGGCAAGGACCGCCGCTCGCTCGGGCAGCCCCAGGGCTCGCCGCACGACAGGTGAGCGCGCTCCCCCCCCCGCCGCCTGTCGGGCCCCGCGACGTTTGTTCGGGTCGTGCGTCTCGATCCCCCGTGCCGGGATCTTGTTCGGCGGCTTCTTACAAGCGACCGGGGGAGGCCTCTCTGAGGACTAACGGCACGAGCTTTCACCAGACTCCCGGCACAGGAGTCCTGTGAAAGCTCCCACCCTGCGAAATGTTGTCAACATCTCGCAACTCTTTCGCCTGGTATGTAGGGGCACGTAGGTTGAATCCCGACTCTGACACCCGTATCTTTGGAGTCTGCAAGTTCTCATACAAACATACAGTTGTCCCCCTCAACGGGAAGATCTGCTTATTCCGCTGTCTCGTTCTGCTCGCACAGTTATCCCACCCCAGTGCCTTCCACCTTAGCCTCGCTCTTCAAAAGAAGGAACTTAGCGGGGCTACTAATTGCGATGATGGGGCCCATTTATGTCGAAGTGGTCGATTTCAGAGGAAACCACCCCCGTTGGATCTCAGAGCAGTTTCATCGAAACGTCGCCGTACGTCACCGTTCCAGTCGGCCACGCAGAGCATTCAAGCCAACGGCTGAGCCGCCTTATTGATCGGTAATACGACCGATACGTGGGCACGTTCAAGTAATATCTTTGTAAACGTGACGACCTCGTCGGGTGGCGGAGGATGAGGAACCAGAATTTTTTTGGCCTGAAACCACCACGTGGCCCAAACCTGAAACCAATATCCGTCATTGCATCGGCTGCGGCAAACCGACCGCGGCGGGAGAGCGCCCCTCGAGTGCCGCTCCCACCCTGTGCTGCAGTGCCACCTAGCTGCTCGCCGCCTTGCTCGCCGTTTCTCGCCCCCGTTGCCGTGCCAGGCCCTAGCGGCCGCCCTCTGAGGGTCGTGGGGTAAACCGGCAATGTCCCTCTCGGTGGGCAGCGGCCTTACAAGGAGCTCCGGGCGTATCGTGGTGGAAATGTGTTTGCGTCCCGGTAGCATGTAAGGAGGAGGCATCCAGAGATGCAGCATCCAGAGCTCTCTGCTGTGTTTAGACTCAAATCCAAATTGTATGATATCACGTGATGTAAACATTTGTGACGCATGACATGTGCGGTGAATATAGGTTTAGGTGTGATACGGGGAGGGGCAGCGCACTGGTGTGCGAACTGCACCTGAGTTTGACTCCCAGCCACGGCTAACATCGGTGGAGAATAGCAGTACTAGGTCTACTCAGCCTTAAATGGGTACCATCACTGGGCGAGACAAAGGTGACCGGATACGGTACCGGCCGCGCCAGCCCCGCCGCGAACCGTTGCCACCCTTAATAGGCGCTCGCTAACGTCGCCTGCACTCGGCATCCGCCGGGCGGTAAGCGGGGCATCTCCGTGTGTGTTTGTTCAGGCACGTAAGGGCTGTGGCCATGTTTGCTGCGCTGGACAGGGAGCTCGAGAGGCCGGTGTCGAGCGACGTGGAAGAGCGGGTGGACGCCTCCTTGCACAGCCCCGTCGCGCGAGAGTCTCCGCGGGGGGCGACGCGACCTGCCGACACCAAGGTGACGCATCCCACCCCACAGACTCCACGCGCACAAAGCCTGGACACAAAACCCGGACACAAAACCCGGACACAAAACCTGGACACAAAGCCTGGACACAAAACCCGGACTCAAAACCCGGACACAAAACCTGGACACAAACTGGACACGCCCGGACGGGGCTGGATGGGGTTGGCGTGGGCGTGTGAAGGTGTGGGACGGGGTGGTGGTCGTAGTAGAGGTTCGTAGCGCTACACTGCTCTACGAACCCGGTGACCTCAGTGACCCCAGCTCGATTTCCGCTCACGGCCGCCAACACCGGTGACGATTATGTGAACCGGATCCTGGGCCCCCCCCCCTAGGTCGACTCAGCCTCAAATGAGAACTCGGTGCGGTGTGTAAAAACATCGCCACTGGGGAGACAACGGCGGCCGGGCGTGGTGCTGGCCACCCACCCACTCGTGTGCCGTGCCAGCCTTGTTTACAGGCTACACGGGGGATCTTTGTCTTTGTGTGAGATGTGCAAGGGGCATCGGGCTCACGAGATGGGATGGAATTTTGACTTTTCAGACACGGGGGAGATGCAAGGATCTCCGCGTAGCATCGCGTGGGACCCTCACAGACTCGATGAGCAGGACAACGTTTGACTCTTCCGACTCAGGGGAGCGACTCTGAAGCGTGCGAGGGTTGTTTTAGGGAGCGAGCGGCTAGAGGAGGAAGTGGAGGTCTCTGGGGCCGAGTCGGGTCAGAGAGCGGGGTGAGTCGTCAGCTGACACTGGGGTCAGTGAGAGTTCAGCCACCAGAATTGAGGAGACTTTTTCCACAAGGGATGCAGTAGAGTTTCGCCGAGGTCGTAAATTCACGGCACTCGGCTGCGTGTGGTTCTGCTGCTGCGTGTCGGCAAATGGAACTCGAGGTGACGCGAACACAAAGCACACAAAGCGGAGGCAGTTTGGAAACTTTAATTCATTTTATCATCACGCACAGTCAGCGAAGGAACCGTTGCGCCAAACGTGTGACCCTCTTGCGAAAGCGTTCGCATCAACTGCTCTTTGCTGCCATACACTGCATCTCGAGTGATTTGTTTGATCCACGGATCATGGGTGGGGGGGGGACATGGGGGGGGTGGGGTGCGACCACGGGGCCGGCGCCATTCCTTTGAGGGGTCGCGGTCCACTTCGAACGTCGACCGCCAACTGATGCGAGTGCGTTTTGCTGCTGGAGTTTGCGCATCAAGACTGGGCGAAGTGTCCACAAAGTGAAACCACAGCCGTCTCCTCCCTCAAACTAAGCTGTCGATCGCTAGGAGACATTTCTGAAGATGTCGAACCATCGGATGCCAAGAAGGAAGTGTAAAGAAATAACTAATGTGCTGACCCACGCGTGACCTCAGAGCATGGCATTCCTTGCGCGTGAATCAGCCACTGTTTCTGATGCACTGGTGCTCAAGCAGAGTTTGTCGGGGCGATCGTGCTGGTTGCTTTGGGTGTAGCGTTTGCGCCGATTCGTCGAATAATATCATCCTGCATCGAGTCCCGTGCTCGTAGGAATCGATGCTCTTCGATTGGTTTGCGCAGGAGCAGTGGCGCAGTGGGCAGCGTCGCTAAGCTATGAATCCCGTGACCCAGAATTCGATCCCTGGCCCACAGGTACTCGTGACGCGCACGATGGAATGGCGATGCGTGGCTGTCGCGGCGTGCCTGGCGGTCGTCCCAGGCAGCTTGTTTATCAGCCCAGGCTTTGCTTCGTAGATCCCGGTTGACTCATGCAGTGGCTTTATAGCTCGAGTGCTGCAGACGATCGTACGAATGTGCCAGAGGCCCGGCGCAGCTGTGCAAGGAGCCCGCTGGCATTTCGTCGCTATTTCGGTCCGGGGTGAAGTGGAATGCCTAAGAAAAGCATTGGGGCCCGCTTGTAAACAGGCCGACTCGCTCAGAGATGTTGATGTCTTGCGATTGTTATTTCAGTGGGACCGTGCTCATCTTTGGTTGGCAGCCCTGAGCCAGTGATGCTAATTCCACATTATCGTGGCGTGGGCCAGTATTTCCAGAAGAAGAAACACTGTTGATTGGTCGATTGACCAGTTTTTATTTTACTGGGTGAGAATCCATGGAGACTTCAAGTCTCAAATTAAGGGTGGCCTGAGTGAACAAGATGAAACCAATGTGGCCATTACCATGTCGACTTCCTACAAAGTAGTCCTTATTTTAATGACCCTCAAGTGATGATGGGCTAAGTCGATCTCTTGGATCTAAACTCGCAACTCGCTGGCTGTGACTCAAGAGCTCTGACCACAGAGGCACAAGTAGTGCTTGCTCAGTGTCTCCATCGCGGCCATTATGAACCCCGTGAGAACTTAGACCCCCAGACCCGGGGGTTTAACCTTCAACCTCGGATCTCAACGGTGCCGGCCCAGCGTTTCTGACGCGTCCATTCCTCGCCAAGGGTGATTGATGAAGGGGCTATCGTCTGATGTACTGTCACCTGTTTCCCCTAATGCCACACTGATTCCAGCGCCTGTCTTCTCGCTGTCGCTGCAGGTGATGGGTGGTGCCCCCATGTCCCCAGGGGGACCCCACCCCAGCCACGGATCCTTCCGGCGCTCCCAGTCCCTGGACCGGCAAAACGCGGGACTGGCCCCCACGGTGAGTGGTCTCTCCTAGTCTCATTCTACTCCCCCCACCACTCCCCTGCCACCACCACCACCATCACCACTCAGTAATGGAACTGCCCCTCCGGCATCGTGATGCCTCCATGGTCGCCACGGTGGCTATGAGATGTTAACTCTCTTGCCTGGTATAGTTCATATTTTTATAGTTTAGTTTATAGGCAGCAGGTGAAAATGTTATTGAGATAAAAAAAAACGCACAACAATGAATGACCGAAAACGAGAGAGTGCAACGTCCCTGCCAGCGTGGTCACCCACCCGGTAGACTGACGCACACCGACTGCTTCAGTCTTCCCCGTGCTCTGCTACTGGTGGCCGTACCCTCTCGCTGGCTCCGGGTTCGAATGCCAGCTGCTCGTGATTCGATTCGAGGGGACTAAGCCCTTTGAGTCCTAAGCAATCTGCAAACCTATGGATCAAGTCGATCCCTCGTGTGCAGGCCCATTGATACGGTGTGACTCCCCCGTGGGTCAAATGCGGGCTGGTGTCGATCAAACCTGCACTTCATAACGGCCAACCGTGGATTTTAAAAAAAGTAAAAAATGACATGGCCTATTTTTATTTTGCATCATCGTCATCATGTCACACCTCCAATTAGCACGGTTGGCTACGTATGGTGCGAAAGAAGTTGGACATTTGTACGTACAAAATCCATTTTAAAATAATTTCAGCGAGAAGTGTACCACTTTGTGTCAGAGAACGACTCTGAGAGATGATTTTGCATGACTGCCAGACACCTCAAGTCACTTTATGAGTGCTGCACAGATCACAAGGTCTGCAAGCCAGGGTTGTCATTTGACAATCAAAATTAGATTGTTGGAGTCGTCAGAGCTGAGTAATCCTCAATAAAGTGAAAAAACGAATTTATTGTAATTATTTTGCCTGAAATTATTAAGCTGAGACTATAAACTGACTAAACTTGACAACCCGAGTTCAGTCACAGTAGGCAGCTGAAACTAAGATGTGAACCCAGCTTCTCAGCGGTGCTGGCTCATACTCCTGAGTCACACGGCCACTCCAAGCACACTGTGCATGTTTATACGTGTTTTAGTTTTCTGTTGCCGGGCTGAGTGTCTGGGGTTTGCATCAATCAGTGGTTGCGTGTGGAGCCGTTTCACGGACGGGCAGCATATCCAGATATCATTCCAGATTTCACGCCGTATTTTCCACCAAAACGGATTATCTCTCCCGTGGAGCCAACTGGGGCTGAGCCGGCCCCTGTCGGCCCCCGACCCTCCCACCAACGACGGCGCAACCGCTACCTCCGTCGCCCCCCCTCCGTGCATCGGCCACGATTTATGGCTCAGTTTATTTTCTGCCGTGTTAAAATGCGAAACGGGAGACAGCAGCGAGGAGGAGCGCTGTGCAGCTGGCCCCGGCGGCCAGCTTTGTAAACAGCCTAAATCTGCCACCTTCGAGAATGCCACAGGGCGCGCGTCGCCCTACGCAGCAGTGATAACCGCCGTGCACTCGCCGGCTGCTGTCTGCCGAGTCGGATAAGCGCCGCGTTTGGCGGCATGGTGGTGATGCCAGCGAGCGGCAAGCGGCAGGGGGTGAGTGTCGTGTGTGTGGGGCGGACGGGCGGCTTCAACCGTGCGCGTGAACTATATTCCGCTCGCGCGATGTGCGTGGGTACGTGATTGCACGTTATAACTTTGCGGGCCCCTTTGTCAATCAACTGCTGGATGATGGCCTCCCCCACCCCCCCCTCTGCCCAGTCGGTTGTGGGTGATGTTTGACCATGCTTCACCCACGCTGGTTAGCGCCGATGGAGCGCTGCCTACCGCCGCTCCAGTGCTCCATGCGCGTTGAATGCACTCGAGAGATTAAGCAATATGTTGCGTGTGTGCACACGTGCACGTGAATGCCACGTACACGTGTGTGCACACGTGCACGTGAATGCCACGTACACGTGTGCTGTTTGCACTCCTTACATCTGTAGCCAAAGACAGATCCCCCTACAGCCGTTAACCGACTGTTGGGGCCAGTGGTGTTAGTGAGAACTGTGAAGGCTGGCACGGCACATGAGGGGGTGGGTGGCCAACACTCTTCCTGGCCACCTTTGTCTCCCCAGTGCTGTTGTTTACACACGGCACCCGGTACTCATTTAGGACTGAGTCGACCTTTGGGAGGCCGGGGACTTGTTCAGATACTCATCGCACAATATTGTCCGTGAGCGGGAATCGAACTCGAGTCGCCGGGTTTGTAGCACAGTGCTCTAAACACTACATTACCGCAGACACAAACCCACAACGTGTGCACATTCGCGTGTGCAGTCGTACTGAATATGCATGTGCTGTGCTAATGCAATGAGTTTGCATTTGCTGGCTGTTGCCCCAGTAACTTGCACAGAGCCATGCAGATTGCCTCTTGCCTGGGCTCCTCCAGGTGCTGGGTTTTGGGGCAAAATTCAATTGAAACAATCTGCCGCTTCAGCGGATTTCGTAAATGCGTTACGATGCACATGCAGCGCACATGCAGCGCACACGCACGCGCGCGCGTGTGCGCTGTATAATGCGCGTAAAAAAATCGAATCTTCTCCGTGGGGAAGGGTATTCAACCTTTCATACGACTTCCCCTTCGAGGTCAATATTTGCCGCTGGTAATTGTGCATTATAACGGACATCCATCAATTACATGCTGTTATCATTCATCAGCAGGCAGTAGCCATTTGGACCGTCGCCAAAAGGGTGCGATGAGGACGATTCCTGGACGTTGCAAGGCAACGGACAAAACCTACACCGCCGCACCGACATTTCAAACCATTTGGGCGCAAAATGTTTCCCTCCAAACTTTCCGCTGCTGAAATGACGACGAAGCCCGATCGCAGGCACGGGCCCCCGGTTCAACGCGCCGGTCACTTCCCTCGGAATGCTCGCCGGATGTTGTCACGCGGGTAGCCGGGGTTACCGGACGGGGCCGGTGGCGTGACCGTGGCGCCGTGGCGCCGTGGAGCAGCGATCCCCTGAAGAGGGGCAGCCGAGGCGTCGTGAACTACCGAACTTGAACGAGCATGGCATGGCCTGGCTTGGCCTGGCTTGGCATGGCCTGGCTTGGCATGGCTTGGCGCTGTCGGCTTTAAATTCACGCCTCGTTTGCGGAGAAACTCTGACGACACGGCACGGCGCTGGCCGTGACCACGGAGGCTCGCGCGTGCGGCGCCGTCGGCAGCAGCAGTGTTCCGCTCGTGCGTGCGAGTGAGCGTGCGTGCGTGCGAGCGTGCGTGCGAGCGTGCGTGCGAGCGTGCGTGCGTGCGTGCGTGCGTGCGTGCGTGCGAGCGTGCGAGCATCAGCAGGAGCAGTGGTGGCCCATTGGGGACCCGAAGCAGAAATTATTATTATGTATACACGTGTGTGTATACTCACACGTGGCGGTGAGCAGTAGTGGAACTGCTAGCTCGCTTCACTATGAACCCGGCGAGCAGAGTTCGATTTCTGGGCCTCCCCTAGGTCGACTCAGCCTTAAATGAGTAATGTACCTGGTGTCATGTGTAAACATCGTCACTGGGGAGACAAAGGCGGGCGGGCGTGGTGGGGGCCACCCACCCCTCGTGTGCTGTACCGGCCTTAATAGGTGCTCGCTAACAGCACCTTCCCCAACAATCTGTTAAGGCTACATGGGGGATCTTTGTCTTTTATGCTCACGTACCGCGACCGGGTTCTGCGGCAGACCTGGCGTGACGACCCTCGGCTGGAAACTCAGAGGGTCGCTCCGTCTTCTGCGACACGGTTTCTAGCAGAAGCTTCAACGCATCTTAACCTCGGTGTCTCCTTGTTGTTGTTGTCGTCGCAGGCTGACTCCACGAGTCTTAAGAAGGGTTGGCTCAGCTGGCTGGACGATGACGCTCAGGTAGGCACAATCGCCCTCCCCCCCCGTACGCCTGTGGCAAGAAACACGTGCCTGCGTTAACAACACTGTGCAAATCCACCGCTGGATGATTTTTTTGACACCGTGTCGATCGTGATGGTGTTATGGCCGCACTCTGCCGCGCTGGTCAGTTTGGTTTGGAGAAGGAGGGGGCCTAACATTGGTTTAGTGATCACCGGCCACTGACTTTAGCCCTGGCTGGGAATTGAACTCGGGTGGCTAGGTCCATAGCGCACTGCGCTATTTAACCCGGCGACCCCCATTCCTGCCTGGCTGCTTCGTAGCCATAATTCATACATTAAATGTATTGTCTCTTTGAACAATGTCATTACTTAATAATCTATTTCATTCTTTCGTGTATTTTTTTTTTCATCTTTCAACTCGTCTTGTAGATACGAGGCTCCGCATTGCGTGTGAAGTTGTTTGACGATAGGAATTTGCTTTGTTGGCTCGCGCACAATGTGAAATGGCCTCAGGTACTTATTTTAGTGCAGGAGATAACCTGCTGGGCCCAAGGCCATCTGCGTACAAAGCCCTGCTTCACAGTGTGCGCTGGACGTGGTGCTTTTTGACTTCATCAAACGCTTGCAATGCCAGCAACATACTGAGCGGCATGGGTGCGAGCATTCAGGGTTGCCACCTGTCCTGATTATCTCGGGAGGAGGCAGGTGCTGTGTAAATCTGTACGTTCTCCCAGGACCCTAATAGTCCAGGATTTTGCCAATTGCTTATTAATAATAATGATAGCAATGCATTTACATGTCTTTCTACCCTCTTTTAGTATTCTTATTCCAATAAATGTCCCAGTTTCTTTTGTACCTCAGAGGTGGCAACCCTCGCAAAAGGTCTTCTCATCTGACATGCATTCCTGAAACATTTGCTGAAGAGTTTTCTTTGATGATTGCTCTCCTGCGGCGGTTCAGTGATGGTGCCAAGACCCAGGCCGCTTTGCAAACGCATGCACTGTGCTGTGCATTCGCAATGCATTCTTGGTGTTACCCATAATGCCGTGTTAGTATTTTTTGTTACATCCGCTTGTATCATTTTAACCAATTGCGGTTATGCGTTGCGTTGCTGAAAAAAACCTAAAACGATGACGGCAAAGAGCAGAAAGAGATGAGAGGGGCAGAAACATTGCCGTGTCGCTCGCGTACCTGGAGTTGGCACGGCGTGGTTCACATGGGGCCTCGTGTGACCACGGTGCAGTTGCACCGCCTACACACCAGACAGCTCTCCCACCGCCCACGGTCCTTTGTACGTCACGCGACTGCGGTGTCGCGGTGGTAGTGGTTGGTGGATCATGCAGAGATGGAGCCAGGGTAAGATTCGCAGCAATGATGTCGTGTTTGTTGCAGGCGGTACAGCAAGTAGGTTAGTCACTAGCAGCAGTGTCGTTGCGTCGTGGCGCGACGGCGTCCTGGGGGATCCACGTCGCATTCTGTGGCGCTCGCCCTCTGATGTGGGCTCTCAAAGGAGCCCGGGAAATGTCAGGGTCGTGATGGGAACGCCGTGGTGCGTTAACCGCTTGCACGCCCGATCCCCCGATCCTGCGCGGGTTGCCATCTCTGCAGGTACGAACGACCCGGACACATTCAAGGGGCGAGGGGGGCAACTGCACGCATACAGAGTGGTGTGGGTTATTACGCAACTGATGAAAAACGATTCACAAATCGCACCTCCAAATCAGCAGCGTCACAACCACCGGGTTTTTTTGTTTTGTTATTATTTAAATAAAAAAATGTATTTAAGCAGGTGAGAAACTCAAGAGACCAGGATATTCTCACGTGCAAGAGCGAGCGAGGCCATTCGCCTTGCCAATTGGCAGTGACGCGTGCTGCGCGCATTCCGAAACGAGTCACTCGCGGTGTCATTGTCGAATTTTTTGCCAAATTTGGACCCCGACGGCCGACGCTCTTTAACGTCCGTCATGAAGCAAGATTACGCGTCGTAGCGTCATCGCGGCGATTACAACCGCGGCAACGACCGGGGCGGTCGCTAGATTCGAGCGGTGAACTCTCTTCAGCGACAAGCGGCTAACGCACCGCGACCTGCGCCGTGCGACGCGCGGGGAGCACGGTCGTGAGGGAACCGGGGCGGAGGGGTGGCAACCCCGAGACCAGACTGCAGTTACCATCGCAGTTACCATCACAGTTACCGCTGCCTCCGTGAGTGTGGAGGTGTCGGCGGTCGCTTCCCCGAGGAACTTCGCCCACTGCGGCCTAGGGGGCCTGTGTGCTCGCTGATATTTTAGCGCGAATCATTTCAGAGAAAGCGTGAATGATCTAAAATGCTTTGATGTCACCATCGTACCTCATGGAAACCATCGTACATCATAGCAACCATTCTCCATAGCAACCATTATTTCATCATAGCAACCATTATTTCATCATAGCAACCATCATTCCTCATAGCAACCATCGTACCTCATAGCAACCATTCTCCATAGCAACCATCGTACCTCATAGCAACCATCGTACCTCATAGCAACCATCATACCTCATGGAAACCATCATTCCTCATAGCAACCATCGTACATCATAGCAACCATCATTCCTCATAGCAACGCCATAAATATGTATTTATTCCATATACTGTGGTTACATTGTCATTTTACAATTAGGTCCATTTTACTTTGGAACATTGAGTCAAAAAATAATGTCCGTTTTGTTATGTAACAAGAGAGTACTGTATTGTTTTTAGTCTTATCGGACCATCGGCTCTCCAGACCAATATTAACCTCCAGCAGTGTTTGTTTAAGCAAGCTGTAGGCCGGTTTCAACCTTCTGGGCCTCATCAGCCGAGCGAGGCTAATTAAACCCATGCCATTGGCTTACCAAACATTATTCCATCCCCACGCTTGGGCCCTGTCAGCGCACAGGTTCTGCATTCCACACAAATCCACTGCTGGATGAGGGCATCTCAACGCTGTTGCTGTTCGTGAAGGTTACCGGACCGTACTTCGCCACGCTGGTCTGAGCGGCTTGGGGAAGGGGGCAGCACAGACATCGGCGCGTAGAGAGAGGCCCTCCACTAGAGGAGAGCTGTAGAGAGCCCCTGCAGAGGGCATCTTGGCCTACTTCTCCACACGTGACCTGCTGATCGACTACCTGTGGTGAACCAATGTATACCTCTGAGTGCACAGCGGCGGGGATAAAGGGAACTAGTGATGTGTGGGTTGCGAGTCCCGGAGCGCCACGGTAACATCGCAGGAGCATAGAAGTACAGTACAATGATAGACGTCGCCACATTGCCTTCTGCCTGTCGCGTGCAGCGTTACGGGCAGCAAAATCAACGAGGCCAGAAGACGAATTAACGAGAGGGCATTTTCACGGCGTTGGCTCCGAGCCCTGGGGAACAGGGGGGGGCGGACAGGGGGTCAGTCAGCAAAGGTGGGGGGGGGGGGGGGGCGACAGGCGTCGTGCCACACACGGGTTAATGGGGCTGGCGCTCCGGAGCGCTGCGAGCGAGCTGGCACCCTCGTGTTGGGATTGCGCGCGAGGGCACCGCCCGCAACCTCCACCCCCCCCTCCTCCTCCGCCGTCCTCTCGTGCGGCCACGGCGCCCGCGGTTGTGCGCTGCTGGGGACATAGAGACCGTGGCAGGCCGAGAGAGAGCGGGAGCCGTACCAACCTGTGAGTGACGGACGTCTGCGCGGGTACGTCCTCGCACTGGTCCGTGTTGTTGTTTGTGAAGCCGTTCCTTCTTTGCTGTGTTGTTTTGCTGTGCTCTGTTTGTCTCTACAAGATATTGTGTGTATATAATGTGTGTCCAGTATATATATGTGTATATACCCGCTCATTGGGATGCGGTAGCGTCGTGCTTAGCGCAGTGCGCTGCAATGCCCGTGAGCCGAGTTTTGATCCCCTCTCGCGCTTAACATCGCTGACATCAATGCAGACAGGCATCGACATGGCTCAGGGAGACATTCATTCACCAGTGGATTGACAAAGGGAAAAAAGATATTATCGTTATTCAAATTATATTGCTGGTGATAGCTTAATTGCAGCATCGCAGAACCATGAGAGATAGTGAGGCCTTCATCCAGCAGTGGATAATCATGGCTGACGACGATGACGGAGATGTAATCATCATTGGCCATCCTAGGAGTGCGGGCCACACGTATTTCTCTCGCTTCCACCACCACTGCCACCACCACCACTGCCACCACAACCAGCACCGCCACTGCCACCACAACCACGACCACCACCGCTGCCACCACCACCGACCACCACCGCCGCCACCACCGCCGCTACCTCCGCCACCATCACCACCACCACCACTATCACCCCCACTGCCACCACCACCCCCACTGCCACCACTACCCCTGCCACCAATTCCGCCACCACCGCTGCTACCAACACCACCACCACAATCAGCACCGCCACTGCCACCACCAGCACTGCCACTGCCGCCACTGCTGCCACCACCACCGCCACCGTACGCCACTGCCACCACCGCCACCACCACTTGTCACACCGCGTCTCGAGTGCCACGGGGGTAGAGTTACGGGCGGCGCTGTCGTCGGCCCCGGCAATTAAATCTCTCTATTTCTGGAGGGCACCCCCAGGGCGCTAGTCGTGCAGGTCGCGCCGAGCGAGAGGGTTGGCGAGCCATCGAGGGAGCGGGCGAGTGGCTTGCGTTGACGAGAGAGCAAGGGGGCGGATCGGCGGACGATAGGGCCAGCGGGCGAGTGGGTGATGTGAGGTGAGATGGCACGTGGGTGAAAGGGAGAGTTGGGTCGACAAAGAGTGCCTGGGTGAATGGGTGAGGGATAGGGCAGTTGGTGGGTGAGGGAAGGAGAGGGCACGTGGGTGGGTGAGGTGACAAGTGGGGGGGTGATTGGGCAGGTGAGCGTGTCGGGAGACGAGCTGGTGACAGACCACTCTCCTCTCCTCATTTCTCCTCCCGTCTGTCATCTCCGTTTGCTCTCCCCTGCTCTCTCTTCGCTCTCCTCGCTCTCTCTGCACACAGATCCGCACTCGGGCTTTATTTACCACTCCTCTTTGAAGGCTTAGTTCGGTTATAATTTGCATTATACGTCCGCTTAATTCTGTTGATGTTTGTAACTGACGATCGCAGGTTTCAGAGAGTTGAGAAGCGCGGATGCTGCAGTGTGTGAGCACGTCTAAGCCTGCGATTAATTTGAAATGTAATCTCAACCTCTTAGAGTTTCATATATTTCCTTGTATGTAAAGACTTAGGCATTAGAGCATTGGACCCGCTTTATGATGCCTCCCTTATGAAAAGACATTTTTCTTTGCAAAGGTTTTACTCAATGTATTATTTTGTCAAACACAAGCGTTAATGCTGTGTGCTTGCTAGATCAAACAAAGGCAATTTGATCAGTGTACTTGTTAATTTATCATTAATTAAAAAAATAGAAGCTGGCCTAAAACTTGCGATTATTAATCTTACATTGCTATATTTTGCCATACCGGAGTTATTCATGAATTTGAAAGTGTTGGGAATTGTTAAATTTAAGAAAAGTTATCTTGCATTATCGAGTTGCACGTTAGCATATATGTAATGATAATATAATGCGAAAGCCAGACTAAAATATTACTGACAACACGTTTCTCCGAATGCTCCACACTTTGTACTTAGGCATCAACCCATCGCTAATAAATAACATAATCATTTACGACCCTTTGTCAGTCCGCCATTGGATATGGGGGGTGGGGGTAGGGAGGTGTTGTTTGACCATACGTTACCACGCTGGTCAATGAACGTTGGTGAAAGGTGGATGCCCAGGTCCGGTTGAGCCGCGGCTGGCTGGGTACGGCGCCCGGCTCGTCGCGTTCACGGTGCAGTGCGCCTACCGCCGGGCGGGCACCGCTCTCACCACGCATGAACCGACTGCTCTTCAGTGAATCGCATCGGAGCTAAATCGCACCCACAGCAAGTGAACCTCTCGCAGCCAGCGAGATACCACGTGCGATACACGTGTGTATATATTAATAGGTTGTGCGTAAAACACGTGTTTATTTTAGATGCACGACGGGCAGGTTACAGACTCGGGCATTGGGGGTGCAGCAGCCTGAGGCCAGGCGCCAAGCGGGAGACCTCGAGCCAGGCGGGTCTCGGAGAGGAACCGAACGGATGTGAAGCTGTGGTGGTCGTCGTTGGCACGAGCCGTGATGACCTCTTGACCTTGATTTTGACGGTTTGACGGCAACACGTGACCCTTTGGCGATCTGCGATGCCCCTTAAATGGCGGTCATCGTGAGCGAGTGGCCTCAGATGGCCACCTGCTCATGATGCTGGGACGATCAGGTTGCTCAACCGACTTAAATCGTAATCGACCACTCTTTGTGTGGTCGATTAATTGGGCTTCTGAAATAATATCCCGACTCCTCGTGGGACGCGGTCGGCGATGCCATCGGCATCGCCAAGCCCCGTCCCTCACTTCCCGTCCAGCTGCACACGCGTGGGTACAAAGGCGAGGTTGTTTTTGTTATTACTTCTCGCTGCGAATTTTCTCGCTATCCCGATTCGTCGAGCAACCGAGATCGAGATGAGTAAAGCGGTGGCTCGAGTCGTGGGGCAGCAGCCCCCAACTCTCTCTCGAGCGGCGGGTCCCATCGGAGCGCCACCGCCGCCGCCCCGGGAATCCGCCGCGCTCTCTCGCTCTCTATAATTAACGGGCACGCGGCGAGGCGGTCGACGGGACGCGCCGTCCCTCCCTCCCTCCCTCCCCCCTCGCCCCCTCCGTGGTCGTTGCAGCCGGGCGGGCGATGGCACTGAATGCGGCGCTTTTATTTTAGTTTTGCGTAAAACCCTCGGGGACAACGGCTGGCGGTGACGTGAAAGGCACTCGCTGAAAATACGTGACAAACCGCCACACCTCGATCGTGCCTGACGTCCGCGCGCGCGCGTGCGTGTGTTTATATTTATGTTTTATTTAATCGGATGAGGCGGTGCGCGCTTGGTCCTTCTTTGGAGGATGCGCTCGCGGCGCTGCCTCTGGCCGTCTTGCTCGTCCGTACGGATCTTCAGAGTCGCGACGCTGCTTCGTGAGTGTGACGGTGGTGATGAAGTTTATGTTGGCAGTGTTTTTAGCTCTCTCAGGAGGAGTGGTGAGTTGTGACCAACAACTACAACAGCAGCAGCAGCAGCAATTTAAACACAGCGTTGTGCAAAGTAGTTGTGCTTTATAACGAAAAGTTGTTGCATGCGGTTGTCAGTTTTCGCGAATGAGTGCCGTATCTTCGGATTATGACGTGTCCTTATCTCCTGTGTTTTAAAGCAAAGATTTCTATAATGTGGTTAGGTGTGTCTGACCACATTTGTACCATTTTATTGACACCGGGCACAAGATTACGGCGGTGGTCTCCTTACTTTCCAGAGCGTCTCTGTAATCTCGAGACGATACGCCAACCCTTTCGTGTTCCTTTATCAGGGAGGCGCAGTGCGCAGTACCGTTGGTCACTGAAATGCATTTTTTTTCCAACTAACCTTTGAGCGTGAATAATTCTGCACCGGTGTAACGCGTCAGCAGACAAGTTGGCCATTGTTTGCCCCGGTGTTGTGGTTCTCTCCAAAGCACCAATGTTCACCCGAATCGGGTTTTAACATTTATTTTTATGACTCAGACAATATCTTCTCATTCTTAGAATTTTATCAAGTCAGCTCAGAGTTAACTGGATTTTGTTATCCATTAGTCCTTGAGACATTTACTATTAGCCCAGCGTTTACTGTAAGTGTTTGTTATTATGTGAAGAAAGTTGAGTTTTATTCGTGGGAAGTGAAACTAAAAATCTACTGGCAGTGATGCGAAATCAAAATTGTCGACTCCAGTAAACGACCTCGCAGGTTCATGAACGCCACTTCAGAATCAGAATACTTATTACTTCAGCTGGAGGAATCCGATAAGCTATGCAGCTCTCTCTCTTTTTTGTTTTACAAACGGCCTTTCATGAAGGTGAATGGCACCGCCACGCACATTACCAGGCACCTGTTGTGGGACTCTAACCGTCAACTCGTGTGCCGCGTGGCTCGGTGGCAATTCACCGCGGTTGCCATCGGTGGTGACCTGTTTCGATGCGAATCGCTCGCGTAGGTCGCGTGCGAGCTTGTCGATAAGCGTGGCGTCGTGCCCTCTTGTTCCGTTCATACCGGCCGCTAGGGCTGTGCGGTTTTTTTCTCTTCGTGAAACGTTTCGCTGTCCTTGATTCAAGCTGCTGCCCTCGTCACAGCTGAGAGCTGCGCGGCTGTCAGGGGGATAGAGGAGTGCGCGCTGCATCTCTCCTGACAGGGTCGGCTGGAAACAAGGTGGCTCGTGCCCTCCGTGACCTGGCTGCGAATATTGCTCTGTGTCTGTCTTGCAGTCCAGACTGTCTGTGTGTCTGATCTGTGACTGTCCTTGCAGTCCAGACTGTCTGTGTGTCTGTGCTGTGTCTGTCTTGCAGTCCAGACTGTCTGTGTGTCTGTGCTGTGTCTGTCTTGCAGTCCAGACTGTCTGTGTGTCTGATCTGTGACTGTCTTGCAGTCCACACCATCTGTGTGTCTGTGCTGTGTCTGTCTTGCAGTCCAGACTGTCTGTGTGTCTGATCTGTGTCTGTCTTGTTGTCCAGACCGTCTGTGTGTCTGATCTGTGTCTCTCTTGCAGTCCAGACCGTCTGTGTGTCTGATCTGAGTCTGTCTTGCAGTCCAGACTGTCTGTGTGTCTGATCTGAGTCTGTCTTGTTGTCCAGACCGTCTGTGTGTCTGATCTGTGTCTCTCTTGCAGTCCAGACCGTCTGTGTGTCTGATCTGAGTCTGTCTTGCAGTCCAGACTGTCTGTGTGTCTGCGCTGTGTCTGTCTTGCAGTCCACACCATCTGTGTGTCTGATCTGTGTCTGTCTTGCTCTGCGACTGCATTTCTGACTTTCTCATCCTCTGTGTATGATTATCTCTCTCTCTCTGTGTCTGTCCGTCTATCTCCATCTGCCCTCCCTGTCTGTGTGTTTCTACACCTGTCTGTGTATCCGTCCGTGTCTATCTGTGTGTCCGTCATTCTGCGTGTCCGTCTTCCGTCTTCCTGTCTGTGTGTCTGTCTACCTGTAGTACCATCTACTTGTCGGTCTACGCGTGTGTATCTGTCTGCCTGTGTGCATGTGTGTGTGTGCGCGTGTGTGTGTGCGCGTGCTCACCCATCTGTGTGTCTGTCTGCGTTTGTCCACGTGTCTGCAGTGGAGGAAGTTCTGGTTTGTGCTCACGCCCGGCGCACTCAAGTTCTACCGCGACACTCCCAGCGAAGAGGTGAGAGTCTGCGAGGCTGCGGTGCCGCCGACACGTTTGCTCAGCGCTCCTTGACTTAAAGCTTTCGTGACTGCAGGAATTCATATTCTTTAGGTCTTTCGGTAAAGTCACGTAGATAGGTAAAACATTTTTTTTCTAAAGTTTCATCGTAAAATGAATTTAACACGTGACCAATATTATCCATAGTAGAGTTTTATTTGGGTTAGATGGTGTAAATATAAATGTGTCTTTGAACATGCCACCACCCGGCACCGCCAATTAGTGAGGTTTGTCACGTAAACAGAACGTGTCAAAACGAGTTGGCATGTTTTGTTTGCGTAACAAACCTTCCCAATGGTGAGTAAAGTGAATTATTTTGTGACGAAACATGAAAATGAGTGTGCGCGCGTATGTGAAGATATCCATGCTGATGTTTAAGGGAATTATTGTGCTCAATTCTAATTGTGAGCATTGTTTACATTCATAGAATGTCTATAGGCATAGAGTGATTTCATTAAATGGCTTTACCCTTTCTGGCATAAATACAGGAGGTGGTAAGATGTTCAAACCACACATGCTGGTGGTAAAAAATAAAAACAAATATGCTTTGATAATGTTCGCACCGTCTTCAAACTGTTTGGCTGACACCAGAGACAGCCTCGTGTATGACTTTGTCACGCCGGTGTTCTAGACCAGAAGCCGCCAAAAGGCAAACAGTTCAAGGACAATGCAACCACCACAGCATTAGTAGCACGGATTAAGCAGTTTTAATGTAAGTTTATAGCTGTAGTAATAATAATAACGATCAAGATGCTTTCACAATGTTCATTGTGATGCATTTGAACCCGAATCAAGACTGATCAGACCCAGCTTACCACAATGAAACAAAAATCGTGAAGGTGTGTTATTAGAGGTGTGTGCAACTTATTTCAAACGAGACTGTCGAACCGGTGATTACATCGGTCAGTCTGACATCAAAGTAAAGTTAGGGGCTGAACTCGTTTCCTGAAATCCGCCAGTAAATCTGTCTGTGACCCTTGGTACGAATCCAAAATAGCAGCTTGCGTAACGGAGTAGGCGAGAGGACGGGGGTGCTGGGTGGATGGCACGGACGACCGATTTTATTTATGTGCGCGTGAGTGGCGAGGATTGGCGCCAATAACGGTGAAACCCCTGCTGACAGCGAGGCCTTGACGGGGCACGCGCAGCCACCACCTACCGTGGCGACGCTCTCTCCACGGCCCCGTGTCAAACTGCGCCTTGCTGCTTCTAGTGCGGCGGTCGGCGAGCCAGCGCTAACGAAACCGGAGACCCGAGTTCGATTGCCCTGTCTGAATTGGTCCTGGGCCTCCCCTAGGTCGACTCGGGCCTCCAGTATGAGTGCCTGGTGCCGATGTATAAACATCGGCCGGGCAGTGGTGCTGGCCACCCACCCCCTCGTGTGTTGTGCCGACCTTCATAGGTGCTGCTCGCTAACAGCACTTGCCCCAACAGTCTGTTAATGCTACACGGGGGGATCGTTGCTCTATTGCAGTTTGTAGGGGTAGTGTCTCCCCCAGCATGTGACGGGGCTGCCTAGCCCACCTGGCAGAGACAGGCAAAGCCTCCTGAGACACTGGGACTTTGGGACGCAATCCTGGAGGTCCCTTCCTCTCACCACGTCCCACTTGAAACTTGGCAGTCCCGGTTTTTGCGAAACCTGGAAGGTTGAGTTGGATTCCCACTGGCAGCGTTTACCGGACTGAGCCAGCACCAACTGGGCCCATGTGGGCCGTTTTTTTATTGTTGTGGGCCGCGTGGCTCCATTTCATAGTAGCTTGGGATAGGATAGCCTACCCCAATCGTAGATCAAACCTTGTCCATATGTTAATTAAACATTAATTTGTTAAGTAAACATTACAATTGCCTCCATACACTGATGGAGAGCAAAGAGCAGAGCCTCGCTAGAGCAGATGAAGAATGGCCTGGCACAAAGACATGTCACGCTGATCTCTCGAGACAATGAAGACAGAAACACTCACGCCCTGACACCCTGAGACACCCTGAGACACGAAGACAGTGAGACCCTCACGCCCTGACACCCTGATATCTTGAGACAGTCGGCGTGACGCTGACACCCCGAGACCCTGTCTTCTGCTCGTCACTGCGGGCAAGTAGTGAGCTCATGAGAAGTCTATTTATAAAGCGTCTCTCTGCATGAGGATGCTCAGGGCCACATCCATCGTGCCCGTAGGCGTCACAGACCTCAAAATACCCAGGGCGCTTTGTTTCTGTGTGTGTGCTCGGTGTTGTATGTGCACGCACACAGGCACACTCAATTATGTGCGCACGTGCCAGTGAGCGCGTGTATGTGTGTGATCCGTGATTGGGTTTCCGTGAGTAATAATCTCACGTCGGATTTCAACAGCCGCATACCGTAGTGCACACAAGATGTACTGCATCAGGTTACATAACACTCAAGTCGTATTCTACACTATTGATTTATATCTCTCATTTTATTTAACACCATGGCAGAATTGGTTTATTTTGAGGATTCCTGCCTGCCACAGGAATGTGGAAATTCCACATTTCGATGAAGGTGGGGGGGGGGGGGGGGGATGGACATCTGTGAACAAAGAGCTTTATAGCTCATTGGATTCCTCAAGTATGTAGACATCTTTAGATTCTGATTCGGGTTCCTTGCTTCCTCTCACGTTCCTGATTCTATCATTGCGATTCTTTTTTGCTGACCACTGCCCACCCAATCGGATGTGTGTTTATACATTTGTACACAAACATTATCATCATCATCATCCATGATCTATACACTGCTGGAAGAATTCCCCCCCCCCCTCACCGCCACCATGTCTCATGGGCCTGTCATGCCAGTGTTGTTCTCTCTCGGCCATGTGTGTGCGTGTGTGCACTCTGAGGTCCTGTTCTCTCTGACCGGTGTGCCTCGTGTCTCTGCTGCTGCAGAGGGACCACGCGGAGGGCGTTGTGGAACTCTCCCCACACTGCACGATCGCCGACTTCCAAGTGCAGCGCAACTTCGGCTTCCAGATCAAGGTACGACGCAGCCCGCCGAGGCCTGCCCTGCACGGCGCACTGCGGCATTGACACGTCCATCTGTCCACGTGTCTCACCATTCCGCTCACCAGGGTGGGCATCCATCTGTCCACGTGTCTCACCATTCCGCTCACCAGGGTGGGCATCCATCTGTCCACGTGTCTCACCATTCCGCTCACCAGGGTGGGCATCCATCTGTCCACGTGTCTCACCATTCCGCTCACCAGGGTGGGCATCCATCTGTCCACGTGTCTCACCATTCCGCTCACCAGGGTGGGCATCCATCTGTCCACGTGTCTCACCATTCCGCTCACCAGGGTGGGCATCCATCTGTCCACGTGTCTGTTCACCTGTCTGCGTTTGCCTGTCGTTCCAATCATCTGTCCGTCCGTTCGTCTGCACCTTCTCCTGCCTGTACGCTCTCCTGCCTGTACGTTCTCGCTGCCTGTACACTCTGCTGCCTGTATGCTCTCATCCTGTCTGTACGTTCTCCTGCCTGTACGTTCTTCTGCCTGTACGTTCTGCTGCCTGTACGTTCTTCTGCCTGTATACTCTCCTGCCTGTACGCTCTCATCCTGTCTGTATGTTCTTCTGCCTGTACATTCTGCTGCCTGTACGTTCTTCTGCCTGTACACTCTGCTGCCTGTACGTTCTAGCTGCCTGTACGCTCTGCCTCCTGTACGCTCTGCTGCCTGTACACTCTGCTGCCTGTACGTTCTGCTGCCTGTACGCTCTGCTGTCTGTACACTCTGCTGCCCGTACACTCTGCTGCCTGTACACTCTGCTGCCTGTACACTCTGCTGCCTGTACACTCTGCTGCCTGTATGCTCTCATCCTGTCTGTACGTTCTGCTGCCTGTACGTTCTCGCTGCCTGTATACTCTCCTGCCTGTACGTTCTGCTGCCTGTACGTTCTGCTGCCTGTACGCTCTGCTGCCTGTAGGCTCTCATCCTGTCTGTACGTTCTGCTGCCTGTACGTTCTGCTGCCTGTATGCTCTCATCCTGCCTGTACGTTCTGCTGCCTGTACGTTCTGCTGCCCTGTACGTTCTGTTGCCTGTACGCTCTCATCCTGCCTGTACGTTCTGCTGCCTGTACGTTCTCCTGTCGTATTGTTCTAGCTACGTAATCGCGTGCGAGCGGCTGAACTCAGGATCCGAGCCCAGAATCTCGGCGGTGGCGCCCTCAGCGCTGCTGGCTACCTCCACACACGAGCGGGTTTTAACAATAAAAAAAATGCAAAATAAAATCAAACGTACACTTTTCTGTTGACGCAGACCAAGTACGCGGTGCACACGCTGGCTGCCGTGACGCCCGGCATTCGCAAGAGCTGGATGGAAGCAATCAGTCAGAGTCCTGGGCTGGGTGGATCTGCCCAGGACAAGATGAGGTAAGAGGCCGCCGGCTGCTTTCACGGCGGCCTACTTGACGAATAAAGTCGAGTCAGATCGAGCCCCTCTCCTCCTCCTTTCCGCGTGGTCAACGTCGACTGGGCACGCAACGACGCATCGATTCCCAAATTTCCGACTGTCCTCGCGCTAACGACGCGCGCGTCAGATGGTGCGTGCGGCAATCGATTTGCTTTCAAGGCGTACACTTTGTGTGGGGTGGAGCGGTGGTGAAGTGGATGGCGAACTGCTTTGTGTGAACCCGGAGACCCGAATTTGATTCACAGCCATTCATGGTGCAGTGTGCTAAATCACTGTGCCACTGCTCTACCACGTATGTATGCGCGTTATCGCATTTCTCAAGGACACCCCTCATTTGGGCATGGATTACACGGTGGCTATGAAATGTTAACTGCCTCGCCTGGTATACAGGAGGTCGTGGGTTAGATCCCGACCCTGACGCCTGCTCTATATTTGGAGTTTGCGTGTCTCTCTCGCCCTGGTCGCGTGGACTTTTCTCCACGTACACCGTTTTTTCCCTCTACAATTAGAAGCATGCGTTTAATGTATTTAGCTGCGAGAAATTTCCACATGATAAGCCACATCGTTGAGCTGTAATTTGTGATAGCCAGGTCACTTCTGAAAACAGCTACATAGCTCAGTGAGCCTTAACTGCTACATTTTTATATTTTTTCCAGAATTTTTGCTTTGCTTCTGCTGCCATTGCAGCTCACCCAGCCGCCCTAGAGCCGCACACAGCTCACCCTCCCTCCCTCCCTCCCCTCCCTCCTCCACTCCCTCCTCTCCACTCCCTCCCTCCCGTGCAGCTCGCCAGACAAGTCGTGGCCGGGCCGCTCGCCGTCATCGTCGTCGTCCCGGGACCGCCCGGTCTCATCGGCCAGCGTTGAAACCAGGGAGCCGCCCCCCGACCAGGCAAGGAGCCGGCCCAAGGCACGGCTGCGCGAAGTCCGAGCCAAGACCATGGACTGCTCCGAGTTCCAGGCGGTGCACCAGGCGCTGGTTCGCTCGCAGCGAGGGGGAGGTGGAGTCGCCCACCACACCGTGCGGTCGTCAGCGCTGCCGCCCGTGAGGATCGACCAATCGGGCCGCTCCGAAGACGGCGGCGGCGCCGGCGGCGTCCCCGGCAACGGCACTTACAAGACGTACTTCCAGACGAGCCACGCGGCCGCCCAGGCGGGGCCCTGCACGGGGCAGGAGGCTCCTCGCAACGCCGCCGCCGCCCCCGCGGCCTCCGACAGGTTCCAGCCCCGCGCGGTCGCGTCGAGGCCCGCGGAGCCCGAGGCCCGCCCCGCGGTCGCGACTCCGCAGGGCCAGAAACCTCCGCACGTCTGCTCCACCCCGACCCGCGAGGCCGGGGGCGTCGCCAACTCGGGCTTCGCGCGCTGCGCGCTCAACCCGTCCGACGGGAAGGCCCGCGCGGTCCTCGCCACGTCCGTGTCGCAGACGCGGCTGCTGCCGGACAAGCAGGGCCCCGACCCGAGCTGGGGCCCCGTCGGACAGGGGCCAGCGTCGCGGGCGAAGAGGCGGACGGCCCGGGGGCCGGCGGGGGGCGGCGGCGGCCCGGGGGCCGGGAGGGGGAGGCCGCGGGGGCCGCGGTGCCGCGGGCGCCGCTCAGCCGCGACGAAATCGAGCAGCGGTGGCGGCAGGTGGAGAAGACGCCGGTGCGGGAGGAGAAGCAGATCCCCATCGCCACCATCAAGCCCACGGCCTCCTCCATGAGCCCCGAGAGTATGGTGGAGCTTCTGCAGAAGGAGGTGCGTGGAGGCGGCGGGGGAGAGGGTGGTGCCCGGTGGTGAAGGTGCCGCGCTGGTGATGGTGCTGGTGCCGGCCCTTACTCTCCTCCCTTCACTCCAATCCTTTCAATTTCAAAAAGAGGGGAGATGACGGGAGAGGTAGAGACACGAGATGCAGACGAGATGAGAGAAGAGAGCTACAGACGAGACGGGTGGAGTGAAATGAGAGAAATATAATAAGAGACGGAGATGGTTAGAGAGACAAACGAGGGAGGTTGAGGCTCTGTGAGTTTACTTTGTTTCTCATTATTCGGCATTGAATTTGAGTTGATATTTATTTGTGGGTCACTCTCATCATTTTTGTTCAGGAATCTGGGGTCACTTGAGCCCCTTGGGACCGTTAGTGTTTCATTCGTTTGCTGAGGCCTAGCGCCACCACTGGGCACGCCGGCTTGACGAGAGGGGAGTGGAAAAGGGGGGTGCCGTCCAACTGGGCCCCCCAGGTCAGGGCGTGTGTGTGTGTGTGCGTGTCGCCGTGTATCTGCAAGTGTACGTGCGTGCGTGTTCCTCTGCTTACGTGCGCGTGCCTGCCTCTGTGTGTGCGTGCGCGTGTGTGCGCGTGTGTGCGTGTTTGTTCCTCTGCGTGCTTGCGTGTGCCTGCGTGCTGTCGCCCGGCTGCAGGTGGAGGAGTTGCGCTGGCAGTTGGAGCACGTGCAGCAGGATCTGCGGAGCTCGCGGGGAGAGAACTCGGCGCTGTTGGCGCGGCTGCGTGCGCTCGAGCAGTCCGAGTACTCGCCGGCCGGATTCGTCTCCCAGGTGATGCGGCGGCGCGGTCGCCACGGCAACGCGGAGAGGGCGCCGCGCCCCCCGAAGGGGTGTCCTGGCGGAGGACGGTGGCGGGGGGCGGGGGAAAAATGAATAACGTAACCAAGTGGGGGGGTGGGGTGGTTTAGTTTGTAACGTCGCTACGGTCGAGAATCCGGTGGGATCGTGTCAAAGGGCTCTGCCGCAGCCGCTCTTGTCATCCCCCCCCCTTCCCCCCCCCCCGTTTGCAATGGTACGCTCCTGGTGGGGCCTCACTTGTGTGGCTGCGTGTGATCCGTGAGCGGGGCTGCAGCCGTTCTCCGATGTGCTTTTTGGGTTCGTCCTGAAGAAGCTCTCCCAGCGCGCGCAGCGAAACGTCGGACACCGTGCCGAACAAGGCACGGCACGGCCCGAATAGCACATCACAGAGCCACGCGGCACAACGGCGACAACGCTCTACGCAGGAGGCTGTACCACTTTTTAAATGGGGGCGGGGGGGTGTAGTGGCTGGGAGGCAGCGCCATGCGTCTGGTCCCCCCCCACTGCTTCCACGTGAGTGGTAGAATCTGCACGGGCAGCTCAAGGACAGACGTCGCTCTTGATGGACAAGGCGGTGAGGCGGGAGATACGCCAACATTTGGCTGCTGTTGCCATGCAACAGGCGACGGCAGAAACAACGAGGTCGCCTCCGCCGGTCCCCTCTCCGTGCGGTGGTGCGCTGGCCCATCAGGGGGCCCTGAGCAGAAATAATTTTGGAATCCTCGTGAGATGACGGAAGAGATGTAGACGAGAGATACGGATGTCGTGAGATGAGATGGAGGGAGATGGAGAGAACATAGACACGAGAGAGTGCAACTGGCTTTCTGTTTGAATTATGTTGTTATGTTCATTAGGATTATGAATTTGAGCGGATGTTTTGTTCACCCATCATTTTGTGTTTTCGTGAATTCCGAAGCTTCGTGAGCTGCTTGGGATTCTAAGCTTTTGCCCGGTTTGCTAGTGGCCAGCGCGGCTAGGGGCTCGGAGCGCGACCCGTTATTACGACGTCGCCCTGGACGACAGCCTCACGTAGGGCACCTGGCGACGGAGGAATTTTCTGCACCCGTGGTCATCGCTTTCGTAGCGAGCGATTGAGATTTATTTTTTTATGTTTACCCCCCCGCCCCCCCCGCCCTACCCGAGCGTGAATTCATCTCACGGGGGAGCAATTGATGATTCCGCAAATTTATCTTCAAGCAGATGGCACCGCGATCTTCTTTGCTTCCCTCATAAAGGAGCATGTGCCCCGTAATTACGTTACCGCTGCATGCAGCTCACGCTTGCGTGATGGCCATGGTTGGAGCCGAGTGTTTGGTTGGGGTGAGGCTTTAGCGAGCGATATTATTCATAATTAATAATACAGGTTTTTGGGTTTTAGTCACATAAACACTCACCAGCGAAATGTCGTGCTCAAAATGTAAATGTTGTGGGTTTCCTCTCCGACACGCCGGTGTGCTGAAGTAGTCACCAATTGGCACATTTTGTTTACGTGACGAACCTTGCTAATTAGCTTTGCCAGGTGGTGATGATGGTTTAACAACACATTGACAGATACTGGAAATTCATGCAAAAGACAACGCAAACCAAACATTTCAGAAATTATATTTACATAAACAATAAATATGACGGGGTGGGTATAGATATTTTATAGTGATCTGTATCTTTGTCAGGCACAAGGCTGTATCGACCTTTAAAAATGCGTCACGTATAAACAACGAATGCTTTTATCTCTGAACGTGCCCAGCGGTTGATTTGTCAATCTTCAGCTTTGACATTCAGAAATGTGGATCGTGGCTTTAAACGCTTCTCAAGCCCGTGTCGGTGGGCTTTAAAGTAGCGCAGACAAACGTCTCTTTCATAATAACGTCTCTTTAATGTTTAAAATGCAAACCTTTACGTGGCTCCCGTGGTTTGTTCGCAGCCTTTCGTTAGATCGTAAGGCACGGAAATTATTTGCAGGGATGCAAAATGTATCCGCAGGGATGTTACATCCGTCGCAGGGTGACCGTGTGGTCAGCAAGCGGTGACACCGCCCGGTGCTCGCGCGTTCGGCGATTGATTTAAAAAAAAAATCATGAATGTTTGATGGTCATTCAAGAACCCAGAATACAAAGTATATTTCAAAAAGGGGGGAAAAAAATCCAGCAGATAACGTGTAACGAACTCGGCGCAATACGCCCGCACAAACGAGGGATTGACCGGAGGCATCCGGGCTCGCTGCCCTCCCCGCGGTAGGGGGTAAGGATCAGTAGTGGCGCAATCGCCGATCGTTGAAGAGGTTTTTCCCGGTTCTAATTCAGCGGCCGCCCTCGTTATTGCTGCTGATGTAAAAATACCGCCGACGCCGTCTGTTTCACAGTGCTCGTCAAAGATTCCCCCGTCACGTCATTCGCAAAGGGCGTCAGCCATTGTGCTCTGACGACATTTTCCAAATAAGACTTTTTCTTTTTTACAAATTTCACCGCAAATTACTCAACTGGGATTCTACACAGCAATGGATCACCACCTACTGCAAACAAAGTAGCAGGGACCTCCTGAAAAAGAGTCATGAGGCTCAGCGAGGCTTTCCTGGGTAAATGAGCGTAAATATATATATATATATAAAGGTGTTGACGTGATCTCTGATCACTCTATGCACGTGTGGCCTGCGCGCAATAGGCCGGCGGTTCGCACCGTACGTAGCCAACGGCGCTGATCTGAGCAGCCCCCCGTGATTATAGAGTCAATGGCATCAGTCCGGTCGCCAGTAACCGGACAAGATAAAGTCGTAGCTCGACTGTCACGTGACAATCCCACAGCAGAGTGTGTAGGAAAGTGTGCCCCCTACTGCTTGAAGGTTAAATAGGTCACTTGAAGGATATTTTAAGAAAATCCTGTGACGAACGTCCTGTTGCAACCATTCTCCGACGCGCAGGAGGGCACTGTCTTGTGAGATTTTCAAATGGGTTTTTTGTCTCATCACATGACACCGAGAGTGCACCGAGTATGGAATGGGGAAACAAGTCCATGAAATATCAACAAAGGTTGTTGCTGTTATTCATGAGGCAATGAGGTCCCCCCCCCCCCGTGAAACAAGGATAGTGATGTGGAGCAGCTTCGTCACCACCACCACCATCATCACTATCATTAACATCTGTATATAAATAAGTGTCAACCGGCACCAGGAGGAACGTGGGAAAAGCCATTTTGCTGATTTGTTGACATTTGACAATTGCTCAAAAACGTACAAATATCTTGCCATCGCTATGGTAGGAGACAATCGAACTCTTCCTTTGCTTTCATTTATGGGAGCACACCGAAGGTCCCCCTCCCAACCCCCCCCCCCCCGTTTGATCTGGAATAATAACATTGGAGCTGCTTGATCACTAACACGTTCCCTTCATTAACAGAAACATTCACTAACCCCCTCCCCCAATATGATTCTTCTCAAGTACAACATCGGCGTCGCGGCAGCCGATTACCAAAGCCGGAGGAGCGGCGGCAAGGAAGACCTCTTAGAGCACGGCGCACGGCCACGGAGAAGCCTCACGGGCGCGCAAATCCATCACGGCCACGAGGAGCCGGCCGCCGCCAGCGACGACGACGACGACGAACGCTGCGTCCGGGCGCCGGGCTCCCGTCCGCGCAAGGCCGAAGCGCGGCTGAGGGAGACCGAGGAGGCCCTGGTGCACAAGACGAAGGCCTGCCTCGAGCTGGAGGAGGCCGCGTCCTCGGCGCAAGAGCGCCACCGGCTGGAGGCGCGCCGGCTGCAGCTGCGGCTCGACGACGCCGAGGAGCGGCTGGCGAGCGCCGTCCGGGACCTGGCGGCCGCGGACGCGGAGCGGCGGCGCGCGGACGCGGCGCTCGCGGACGCGGAGCGGAGCCGGCGGGAGGCGGCCGAGGCCGCGGCCAAGGAGGCGGCCGCTCGCCAGCAGCTCGAAGCGGAAGAGCGGCGCCGCACGGAGCTCGAGGAGCGGTGCCTGCGGTTGCAGACGGAGGTCGGCCGCCTGGAGAGCGAGAAGGAGAGCGTCTCGCAGAAGGAGGCCGAAGCGGCGAGGAGCCTGGAGCGGAAACTCGCGCGGAGCGAAGCCTCGGCGCTGGCGCTGTCGCGGCAGCTGCGGGCAGCCGAGGAGGACAACGAGACGCTGCGGTCGCAGCAGGAGACGCTCGAGCGGGAGCTGCAGGGCGTGCGCCGCTCAGATGCCGCCCCGGCGGGGCCCGAGGAGAGGCCCATCGTGCAGATCGACGGGCAGCCCATGGAGTGGCTGGACAAGGAGATCGAGCTGCAGGACCTGGCGGCGCGCCACCGGGCGGAGCTCCGCGACACGAAGGCCTCCTTCCACAAGGAGGCGGAGCGGCTCCGGGCGGAGGCGCGCCGTGCCGAGGAGGCGCTGAGGGCGCGGGCGCTGGAAAGCGTGCAGGAGATGGACTCGCTCACCGTGTGCATGGAGGCCATGCAGCGCAAGCACCAGGAGGAGCTGCGCCAGCGGGAGGACGGCTTCCGCGAGGAGCTGTCGCGTCGTGACCGCCGCCTCCAGGAGCTGTCCCGCGAGGCCTCCGATCGTCACCGGCAGGAGGTGGCGGCCCTGACGGGGGATGCTCGTGCGAGGGAGCGGCGGTTTGGCTCCGCGCTCGAAGCGCTGCTCCGGCAGCTGCCCGGCTGGGAAGAGAACGGCCCGGTCGAGCTTCGAGCCGGCCGCCCGTCGACGGACGAAACGGCGGCGGGTGACGGCGGCGATCTGGAAAGCGCCCACCTCGTCGAGCTCCTGGCCGAGAAAGTGGAGGAGACGCTGCGGGAATTCGGGGTGGCGAAGAGGGAGCTGGAGCTCCTGCGGCCTCAGGGAGACCCGGCGGCCCTCAGGGACGCGTTCCAGCGTGACCTTGAGGAAGTCAAGGTCGTGTGGCCTCTCCTGCCAGTCGCTGTAGTGTGTAGTGCCGCCGCCCCCATGTGATTGCGGTTTGCCTTCGTCCGCATTGCAACTCCATCCATTGCTGTGTGATGTGATTTTGATTGTTTTTGTGGTGTTTTTTTCTCCCCCCGCCGCCGGTTTTTCATCTCTCTCTCTCTTGCGACTCCCTTTTTTGGCGACAATCACAACACGCCTTCCGCGTTTTCGCTTCCCTCGTTTCAACTGCCGTTTCGTTATCTTCGTGTGGCTTCAATCATTTTTCACAGTGGCTTTTTCATTTCAAAGGAGGATGAACATAAATCGATCGTTTGTTTTTTGTGAGCCTGCCGATTGCGTCTCCGGTCAACGTGGCTGCATTCTCGGTTTGCTGATATTCGCCTGTGTTCATCACTAGGCCCGAGCGAAGCCTTTTTTGCAATCGGCGCTGGGTTTATTTTCTCATGAAACGTTCCACGTCGGTGCCCCCACGGTTCGTGTTTCCAGCTCTGCTTCATTTGCCTCCGTTTAACTACTGGGCATCTATCAAAAGAGAACTTGATAGCTCATTGCATTCCTCCAGTATAAATAAATATTCTGATTCTGATATTCTGATTCTGAAGTACAAATTTGAACCGTTACAAGCTGCACATGCCTGGTTATTGCTAAACGCGTTCCGCCTGACGTTAGTAGAAGCGCCGAGATTGGGATCTTGTTATTGTACTCGTGTGTCTACGCGTGTGTACACGTGTACACGTGTGTACGCGCGCACCCCAGGTGATGCGCGGCGCGTTGGTCCAGCACCGTTCCCCGTCACACGGGACGATCGTTTACCGATGACGAGGCACGTGCAGCGGCTACCCCGACTTTATTAACATAACGGAGAAGGCTCGTTAGCGTGGGGAGCGGGACCGTGGTGGGCCGTGAGAAATTATTCGCCAGAAGGGGAGTTTGAGAAACCCCGTTTCGTGTTGCAGTGCGTAATTCTGATTTTAGATCTCACGCGACACAATCACAAGGGGCCGCTGGTGTTTGCTGTGCGCTGTGGCGATTGGCTGACAGGCGCGGCCCGGCCCCTCAAAAACTCTTCGATTGCAAATGGGCGAGTCGCTCTCTTTTAAGAGCAGTGGCCACGTTGACAGGTGTATGCGCGTGAATGTGTGTGCGCGCTCGTGTACGTGAGTGTGTGCGTGCATGTGTGTGTGAGTGCGCGTGTGTGAGTGCGTGTGTGTGTGTGTGCGTGCGTGTGTGTGTGCGCCTGTGTGTGAGTGTGCGTGTGAGTGTGTGTGTGTGTGAGTGTGTGTGTCAGTGTGCTGCCTGGTCGTCGTGAAACCCCCACGTCAAGTGAATGACAATACTCACCAGGGGTGAGCGGCTCGCGGTGGCCTCAGCCTGATTCTACGTTAATCAAATAAAAAAAAAAATATCAGCAACACACTGAGACCGGATTCAACAGGGGGAGGACCCCGTTGCAACTGAAATTCGAACTCCCCGCGACAGCGCGACCGCGGGCGCGTCGCGACGTCGGCGGTCTGACGGTGACACCCCCCCCTCCCCCCCCCCCCCTCCTCGGTGTTTCGCTTGTCCACAGGCGACGTGCGAGCGCGGCCTCGCTGCCATGGAGGAGTCCCACCAGCGAAGCATGGAGGACCTGCAGCGCAAGCACCAGCACGACATGCAGCTGCTGCGCCAGCAGTCCGAGCAACTGCTGGCCGAGGAGACGGCCGCCACCATCGCCGGTGAGTCGCGGCGCCGGCACGGCGAGGAGCCGGAAGGGGGGGGGGGGAGCACAGTTAGAGTCGCCACCCTTTCTGGTGTTCCCAGGATCGTCCTCGTTTTGAAGTGGCCGTCCTGGGAAATCGGTCACTTTGAAAGTTCCCAGCGCCGCTAGAGGCTCCCCGCCTGGCTGGGGCAGCGAGCCCAATCCGCCCCTCTTCACCAAAACCTGCCGCGTTGATCTCGCACTTTTGCTGGCAGGATTTATGCTCTGCGCTCGGCGCTTTGAAATAGAAACATAAAAAAATCAAAGTTCCCAGCACTGCCGCTGCTGCTAACGCCGATAATCCACGGTGGTCCTCATGGCGGAGGCGCAGTCCGTTTTGTCCACTGCGGCGCTCGTTACGCCGGAGGTGTGTTGTTGGCGGCGGCGACGATCGTGACGGACGTTCGACGTCGCCCTCCCGCTGTCGCCCTCCCGCTGTCGCCCTCCCGCTGTCGCCCTCCCGCTGTCGCCCTCCCGCTGTCGCCCTCCCGCTGTCGCCCGAGCGCAGCGCTGGAGGCGATGAAGAGCGCGCACCGCGACGAGTTCGAGCGCGAGCTGGAGAAGGCGCTCAAGTCGCGGCACGGCACCGGCAGCCAGGACGCGGAGCTCATCCGCAAGCAGCACGAGTGAGCGGCGCACTCGCACCGTCACAACCGCACCGTCACACAATCGCACCGTCACAACCGCCCTGCTCAAGCAACCGCACCATCACACAACCGCACCGCTCGCACGAACACAACCACCAGTGATGCTGCTCGCCTCTCCCCCACCACCCTCTTCTTTGTCGTGCCACCCTTGATAGGTCCCGTCCCGACATCATTTTCTCCAACAGCCTGTGAAAAGGCTACTTGTGTGTGTCGGGTTCGATTCCCACTCACGGCAACCAGCCAGTGGCGATTATCTGAACCTGTCCAGTGCCTCCTCTAAGTTTACTCAGCCTAAAATGAGCACCTGGTGCGGTGCGTAAATATCAGCACTAGGTGAGGCAAAGGCGTGGTGCTGGCCACCCACCCCCTCGTGTGCCCTGCCAGCCCTCATAGGTGCTCGCTAACAGCACTTGCCCCGACAGTCTGTTGAGGCGACACGGGTGGTGTTTGTGTGCGCAGGGAGGAGCTGGCCTCTATCCAGCGGGAGCTGGGCGTGCTCTCGGAGCAGTACTCACAGAAGTGCCTCGAGAACTCGCACCTGAGCCAGGCGCTGGACGCCGAGAGGCAGGCGCTGCAGCAGTGCCAGCGCGAGAACGAGGAGCTCAACACTCGTTGCCAGGTGGGGGCCCCCCTCACCCCCCCTCCCCTTCCTCACCCCCCCTCCCCACCCCCCTCCCCTTCCCCACCCCCTTCCCCACCCTCCCTCCCCACCCCCCTTCCCTTCCCCACCCCCTTCCCCACCCTCCCTCCCCACCCCCCTTCCCCACCCCCTTCCCCACCCCCCCTCCCCTTCCCCACCCCCCCTCCCCTTCCAGATCCCCTCCCCTTCCCCACCCCCCCTCCCCACCCCCTCCCCTTCCCCACCCCCCTCCCCACCCTCTCCCCTTCCCCGCCCCCCCTCCCCTTCCACGCCCCCCCTCCCCTTCCCCACCCCCTCCCCTTCCCCACCCCCCCTCCCCACCCCCTCCCCTTCCCCACCCCCCTCCCCACCCTCTCCCCTTCCCCACCCCCCCTCCCCTTCCGCACCCCCTCCCCTTCCCCACCCCCCTCCCCACCCTCTCCCCTTCCCCGCCCCCCCTCCCCTTCCCCACCCCCCCTCGAGCAAAACGAGATTGGAATCGCGACGAGGATGGGGGCGTCCATAGCGAAGGCTCTCATCAGCACGCTTGTCGCGCCGATACTGGGACTGGCGAAGTGGTGCCGACGATCGTGGTGGACGTAGAGTGGACGTTGAGTGGACGTCGGGTAGACGTCGGGTAGACGTCGGGTAGACGTCGGGCACGGCGGTTCGTTGTTTTCGCGAGCGTTGAGCGGGACGCTTCGCCGCTCTTCCCCCCCCGCCCCCCCCCCCCCCGACCGGTGTCGCCGACCAGGAGCTGAACAAGCGCCTGGCGACGGAGCTGATGCGGATCCGCAGCATCATGACGGGAGACAGCAACGGCGCCGTGCCCTCGCTGGCACCCGGCAAGGACACCTACGAGCTGGAGGTGAGCTAGTGGGCGAGTGGGTGAGCGAGCGGTTGGGTAAGTGGGTGAGCGAGTGAGCTCACCTCCTGGTTGCCCGCCCGCCCGCTGCTCACCCTCGCCAAACCTCCGAGCCCGTGGTTGTCGCGGTTCTCACCACGCCGAGCGTGATGAAAGCCCCACAGTGCAGAGTGTCCCATGGGTCGGGGGGCCGGGGTGGCCGAACGTATCCGCGGGGTAGTACGTACGTGTGTGTGTACGTACGTTGAACTTCTTTAGCACCGTACGTAGCGAACTAAAGAAATGTCGTTTTCAATCTAGATGATTTAAAAGTGCATAGCTCCAGTAGCTTCCTAATATTGGTAGGAAGAGCGTTCCAGACGGCCGCAGAAACGCATCTGAAAGCGCGACGATGCGCTAACCAATGTCTTCGTTCGATGGATGAGCCAAAATCTGCTTCGAGGATGACCAAAGTTCGTGTGATGGTCCCTTGGCGAGATCAACATGGTAACCCATGGTACCATGGTAACCTATGGTGGCTCAGATCAGCATGGTACCATGGTAACCCATGGTAACCCATGGTGGCTCAGTGAGCCCTGTTGAGGTGACAGGACCTGTATAAAACGATGGTAATGATGACGATGGTGGTGATACTGCTGCAGATGATGATGATGATGACGACGACTAAAGTCAGATAAGCCGAAGTCGGGGTGGTTGATGGAATGGTTTTGTTTAATGGATGAGGAGCACAATGTTACTATAATTCACCGACGTCACCATCGCTAACAAACACTGTCTTGAACAGTGACAGATTATGATCACAATAATAATTATAATAATCTTACCGCTCTTTATTTACCCAGGAAAATCCTGAAACACTGTTTTGTTTAGCGTACCCACAGCGCAACTGTCTTGCGCCCACAGGTCATGCTGAGGGTCAAGGACTCTGAAATCCAGTACTTCAAGCAGGAGATCAACGCCCTCAAGGAGGAGCTGCAGTCGGCGCTGAGGGTGAGCGCACGACTTGGTTGTGAAGTAGACCACAACACCTGCTCTGGCTCGTGTTGTGCTCGTACACCTTGTGGGGACTCATTTCTTCATTGCGATTAACTTTCTTTTGTCGTTTGTGCCTTTTTGTTTTGGTGCCATTTATTAATTTGGTCATTCATTGTTTATTTTGCTTGGTAGTCGAAGGGTTTTCATTTGCTCGGTGAGAGTGTGTGTGTGGTGGGCTTCTTTCGTGCCGTACGAAGCCAACCGCATATATGGGATTTGGTCCTTATATAATTAATGTACAGCGTTATAATAATAATGAAAGTATTATTACTACCCTGGCTGCTTGTCTCATCCTCACATCGTCACTCTGGCCTCACACCCCACCACTCGCACCTCCGATTAGAACGGTTGGCTACGTACGGCGCGAAAGAAGTTCAACACAAGTACGTGCGTAAACCACCTCTGATTTCCTCTGCCCGTCAACGGCTCACGACGAGGCCGCTGGAACTTCTCCCCATGCCTTCCCCTCTCTCTCTGGTCACGGCAATCGCTTCCCTGTAGACCCACGTCCATACCTCGTGAGTCCACCTGTCACACCGTCGACCCGCCTGTCGCGCGGTCGACCCACCACTTGCGCCTTCCTCGTGACAGTGCGAGGCCGCCGATGGGAGGAGACACGTGGTGGTCCTCCATTCTTCTTGCACTTGCAAGCCGGCGACGTCTCCCTCTCTATCTTTGGCACCGGAACCCTCTGCTGCCTCAGCCTTTCTGCTCTCATTCTGTGGATTTTCTCGTCTCGACATTTTTACGATTTCTTCTCGGGTCATTCCGGCTCCCCCCAACGTCTCTCCTTCAATCCTCTCGCTCTCCCCGTCTCCCCTGAGCGCCGCTCGCGGCTGAACAACCCACACTGGCCCATCCCGCCCGCAGGACAAGAAATACGCGACGGACAAGTACAAGGACATCTACACGGAGCTGAGCATCTCGCGCGCCAAGGCCGACCTGGACGTGACGCGGCTCCGCGAGCAGCTGCAGACCATCAGCCAGGGCGAGGAGCGTGCCGGATACGGTGGGTGGTGCCTCGGTCTGCGCCCCGCACCAGGACACCCACGGGGGGGGGGGGGGGGGGGGGGGGGGCGAGAACGCCGTGCGTGGGACCGTTCCCGCGAGCGCTGATTGTCTCGTGACGGGGCTTCCCCCCACCGCTTTTGCCGCGTGCAGACATCCTCAAGTCGAAGAGCATCCCGGACTTTTTCAAGACGCAGACGACCTCCAGCTGCAAGCGAACGGTGCGGAACCTCCGCTCCAAGGTACGTGCGGATCGAACAAAAGTAACAGCCAGCGCCTCCGGAACGCTAGTTTGTTAGATGATGCTGGATCATCACAAGTCATACAAGTAGTCGAACACAAGTATGTTGAATTGCTTCTTACGAAATGTGAGCTTGCATCTAGGTGATGATAACATGTTGTTGGAGGCACGAGTTGGTGGTGCACAGCTCTGGTCCAGCACCGTGAATCGTGGAGATTTTGGAAATGACCAAATTCACTCGGCTGCCAGATGGGTAGCAGATGGCAGTGGAGCAAATAGGTACTGGAATCCCTCTGTGCAGAGCTTTTGAGTGTTATTCCTTCACGTGTAGGTTAGGATTAGGCTACTCCGATGTCACACCACGTGCAAAACACTCGTCAATGGAACTGGTCAAACATACCAAAGCAGGACCCTCCTGAAATGTAGTCTTGAGTCTCAAGTTGTTTGGGATAAATAACCGGAATTCACATTGCTCCTTCATCATCTTGATTAGCCTACCAACATTGGTGCAACCTGATTGGTCCATCTTGATAAGCCCATCCCGATCGGCGGACCCTCATTAGCGCTTTCTATTTGGAGTCTCCTGATTGGCCCATGTGGGCTGGCGCGTCTTGTCCGTCGCTGCCTTGACCCGCCGCCCGTTTGCTGCCCCTTCCTCCCGTAGAGTCTGAGGGAGGGCCTCTCGACGCAGGAGCAGAAGCAGCTGTTTGACGAAGCCGAGGTGCAGCAGTGAGGCGGGCCGGGGGGGGGGGGGGGGTGCGGCTCCCGTTCTCTCTGCACCCTCGCTGGCGATTGGCGGGCCCACAGCTGCGAAGGGACGTGGCTACAGACGATCAACACCCCCCCTTCCTTCCCCCGCGGCGCGGGATAGCAACCCCTGCCGCCGCACCAGCCACGGCTCCGGAAGCGCCCATCGCCTCGTCCCTTCGCCGAGATAGTTTTGACGCACGGTGAACGCGGCCGCCGCTCTCGACCGCTCCCTCCGCTCCGCCTGCGGCTGGCCAGGAAGAGCGCCGTCTCGGCCGGGCCTGCTGCGACGGAGGTGCCGGCAGGCCCGGTTTGCCGGCTCCCTGCTGCGTGGGCCCGGCGGTGGCGGTGTGCGAGCGAGGCGCTGCCGACGGTCCTTGCCATCGCGGTGTGCGCGAGGCTGTCGGGCCGACGTGGGGTTTCGGGCGCCGAGGCGCGGTCTGCCACTTGGGTGAATCCGCGCCGACGGAGCGATCCGGTGAACGGCAGCCTGCGTCCGCGCGTTTAGCACGGACGAAGCCCTCGCGCACGGGGGCATTGAAATGTAGGTGACCAACACAGACCCGAGCTTGCATTCAGTTTGTTACTTATTGGTGTCGTCCGTGTGTTATCAATATTTGACAGGTCAGTGTCAGACGTACAGGCGGTGACCCTGTTGGCAACAACGGAATAAACGCCCCCCCCCCCTCACCCTGCGCGATCACCGCGCAGGGTGAGATGGGATGTGAGAGGGGCGCTTCGGCGAGACGCGTTCACACCCGACAAGGTCCACTGCCGGTCACGAAACGCTCGCGCAGCCGCATGGGGGGGGGGGGGGGGGGGGTTGGGCAATGCGGGGGGCACGTGGGGTGGGGGGTGCCACGAGATGAGTGTCAAGAGTCGTCGGGGTGAGCGGGCCGGGCAGGGTACAGCTTCACGAGTTGGTAGCCGGGGGAGCCTCCTACCCCCCGGCGCTCATTGCGCACTGTGGAGCAGTCCGCGCAGAGACGCCGCGGCGGTGACGGGACATGTCCCACTCGGTACCCGTTGCCGGGGTTTGCGCCGCGCGCGAGCGAGCAGGCGACCTTGCACGCCAGACGGTTGTCCGGAGCTCCGTAGACGCCAGGGATGAGTTCTCTGTCTCGAGTGCGCACGAATTGGACGGGGGCTGGGAACGTTCTGCACGCAACACGGGTGCTCGTGTGACGTGCACGCAAGGCACGATGGGAGCCGTGCAATCCCCACTCTGTTTCAACGAGCACCGCTGCGCGTCGTCCTTCGTGCGCGTGCCAGTCGGGCTGGCACGACGGTGCGGAGTCGAGCTCGGTGGGGCCCACGACAGGCTTAGATAGCACTCGCCGCCAATGTGTCGGCCAATTATCGGGAATCAAACTCAGGTCGCTGGGTTCGTAGTGCATTGTGCTAACCATGACAACACGCGCACGATACGGAGCACCTGTGACTTGTCGTCTGATACGAGGCGTCCTAAAACACTGTTGTGCTTGTGTTGTGACCTTTTGCAAAGATGGCACAATTTGTCCACCCTGTATTAATATTTGCGTTTAAAAAAAAACGGGTGGTGGCATTCACAAAGGGAAAGGTTTCAGTTTCCAAATGAACAGCTTCTGCTGGTTCGGGAAAGTTTATTTTGCTGCAATGTGTTTATATTAAATATTATATAAATTAAGAGTCACTTATCTTTTGTAACACATAAATTTGTACGTGTCATTCGAAGCAGTATTTATAAGAGGGTTTCTATGGGGAAATTATTGCATGACATTATGGTGCGTGTGTTTGAAGGACCTATATAAAATATGAATTTATTGCAATACCGTTTTAAGATGATCGTATAAACTGGTGGTGTATGGCCATATTAAAGGGTGGCCTAGGAAGAAGTGTTCTCCTGATACACGTTTGATGACAACAACGCACTCAAGTCAAACGTCACGTGACGGTGATACAGAGCTCTTTGCAAGGTGGGGGGGAGGGGGGGGGGGGAGGAGGTTGGTGGATCTCTTGAGGATGGGAGCACCGGCTCATCTCCCTGACATTCAAGTGACTGCACAGAGCGCAGCCTGCAACCACTGCGACGTCTAAGCCCTGCGGGCGCGCGCTCCCGTGCCGCTCCGTGTAGCCCCATCGCGAATGAAATATTTCAACATGTTTGCATTTTAGCTGCGGCGTGCACACACCCAGGTCTGGGTGTTCTTCTGCAGCCCGCCGTTCACAGCCCGGTGTTCACAACCCGGTGTCAGGGGACGCGGGGGGTGGGGGGGGGGGGGGGCAGACTCACGATGAAGGCCACTGGGCCAGCGGCGAGGGCCTTCGTTAAGAATTTGTATTCCGTTGATGCCCAGCGCCCTCTTGCCGCCCCTTTGAGGTCGCCCTTTCCGAGAACGAGACAAAACGGTGCCATGTCCGGACAATGGAGAGGCCGTTCACTGTGCGTCTGGTGACGCTGTTCTGCAATTACCGGAGCTGTGGGTGAGGTCGAGGGGAGGGCGAAATTTGTCAGCCAAAACTCAAGGGCAGCCCCTTGACGGAGGGGTTTGTTGGCCAGTGCCGGTTTGGGCAAAACGTCATCGGTGTCGAGGTTTTCTTGAAGCGGAAATCAATCGCTGGAGAATTTCTGAATGGGGGAGAGGCCATTGGTTCAATCCCAGGTGCCAGTATCCACAGGTCGAGTGTGGTGTCGTCCACTCCAATGAGAGGCACCACGATAATAATGTCTTCTTCTACCCATGACAGTATCACTGAGTCCCATGGCTCATTCTTAGGGGAGTTCTGCTGTGGGATGTTTGGCCAATATGCTTTTCATTTAGTTTTTTGTGTGTGTGCGCGTGGGTGAAAACTGGGTTAACGGCAGCAGCACATGTATAGGAAGTGAGAACACGCAAACTTCACATGCGTAGCAAATAAACCTGGTTTCTGTACTGCATTAAGGTAGCAGTAGCTTGAACTATGTTCCAGCGCCGCCTGTCACACACGTCCTCAACTCCACGAGTAAGTGTGCATCGGTCTCGTGCCCTAATTCCAAAGATTCCAAGGCGTGCTTGCTGGTTCATTGGTTTTGAAGCGTGGCTGCACGTGTGGTGTGTCACGGTGCTTCTTGAAGCTTTGCCGCTGCTGCTACCGCTGCTGCAGTGGGACTGTCCCCTCGAATGTCGTCGCTCCCCAGCCGAGTGAGTTGCAGACGCAGCGAAACCCGCTATCGCTACGACGCTGTTAATTGTTGTACACACGTATGTACGTTGGACTTCGTTCGCACCGTACGTGGCCAATCGTGCGAATCGGAGGTGCGGGGGGGGGGAAGGACAATAAACTAAACACAAAAATCAGTTCTAAAGAAATGCGTTTTCAATCTAGATTTTCAAATGCACAACTCCAGTGGCTTTCTCAATTAAAGTTTCCATCGCTTCCTTGGGTTTGGCATGGCACCCGAACGCAGCGCGCTGCGACGCGCTCCTCGAGGAGTCCCAAGCGCCAGGCTGCGATCTGCTCCGTCGCGCGACGCCGGCAGCCAGCGACGGGGACATCAGAGGCGACGGGAGGGACGCGATCGCTTGGGTGGCCGCGTGATGGCTCGAGCCGAGTTGTCCGGGATCCCCTCTGCAGCTTGTGGAAGTTTTCCTTTCACATCCCGCGGAGGATCGCGTCGCGTCAGTCCCATCCGCGACCCGCCTGTGCTCTCTGGCCACGTGTCCGGGAAACGTCGGACCACATGGGGGACTGTGCTTGCCGCGCAGACCTCAGGAATGGTAAATTGCCGCTTTGCGGGCGGCTTGAATGTGGTTATTGAACGACGGCCGGCCGGCTATCTGGCATCTCATTTGATATCGTCAAATTCATTACCGCAGCGTCAATAGGCCGTGTTTGCGCGCTGGAAGCGACTATCATTCACGGTTCATTATCAGATACTTCCATAGATATCGGTATTGAACTGCATTCGTACATATTTCCAATAATCCAGTGTCCCTCGTGCATCGTCAGTGATTTCATGGTGGTAGTCTCCGACCCCTGGAAGAGGAGATGATGATGACGACACAGACCGGCGAGACGTACAGAGCAGCGAGAATCGGCACAAGATCCTGATCCTTGTGGAGTTGCGGTGACATTCGAGGTGCACTATCATATTTGTACAAGTTGCTTTTGATCAGGGAGGACTCGAGCCGAAGGAGGGCAATGTCAAAATTCGACATTCGGATGACGAACTCGGGATGTCGTCATCGACGTGTGTCAAAAGCCACTGAAATGTGAATTGCAACTTGTTATCGCAAGCCGCGTGAACATTGTTTTCTAGTCCAAGCAGATCCGGGCGATGAGCTGATTGAAGTGAGCAGGGGGAGGGTCTCTTGATGCCATCAGATGTGGCCAGGGACGTGTTCGCCGCTGGCCTCTTATCATCACGTGGGATTTTATAGCAGCCAAATACTCTAAACGTGTGCTGTTGAGTTTAAATGTGGAGGGAGAAACCGATAGAAGCCGGAGAAAAATCCAAGCGAGAACGAGGAGAGAGAGACACGCAGACTCCAAATATACAGCAGGCGTCAGGGTCGGGATCGAACCCACGACCTCCTGTATAACCAGGCGATGATGATGAGAGAGACACGCAGACTCCAAATATAGAGCAGGCGTGCGCGCGGGGGCCACGCGCGGGGGGGGGGCACGCACGGGGGGGGGGGGGGGGCGTGCGCGCGGGGGCCACGTGCGGCGCTCTGCGAAGCGCAGCGGGCCCGCGTGGCGCCATCGCGTGGGGGACTCCGGTGGCGTCGCGGGGGAGCGGCGAGGCGGAGCGGACACCCGCGGACGGCCACGCCAGGGGGGTGGGGGTGGGGGCAAGGGAGCGGCGGGGGGGGCTGTGGGGGGTCGCGAGGGGAGGGGCCCCCCGCAGTGGAATGCCGCACACGCAGCCGGGCAGCACCGGGCCCGAGTCGGTGTCCACCTATGGGCGGGGGGGGGGGGGCTTGTAAAGCACAGCAACAACAGTAGTAGCAGTAGTAGCAGTAGCATCAGCAACAGTCGTAGTAGCAGCAGTAGTAGCAACAGCATCACGCTCTCGCCGCCAGCGCTTCGGTCGTCCACGTGGCTTGGCCTCTCCTACTCTTGGTTCTTTCGGTAAAGTCACGTAGAAGGGAAATAATAAATATATAAAACAATACAATTCCCACGACGTTTCGATTGCAACACAAGCAATCATCATCAGGTGTGAATTTTGTTTCTTGCTGTGGTTTTCACACCTGATGACGATTGCTTGTGTTGCAATCGAAACTTCGTGAGAATTTTATTTTTTATTTTTATAATTTTATTATTTCCCTTCTACGTGACTTTACCGAAAGAACCAAGAAGATGCATCCCTGCAGTCACGAAAGCTTTAAATCGAAAAATATGGCCTCTCCTTTTCCGCGATCTCCGTCGAGGTGTCCACGTGGGCCCACCTTGCCGGTGCTGCCACGACACCGCTCCGCGATCTCCGTCAAGGTGTCCACGTGGGCCCACCTTGCCGGTGCTGCCAGGTCACCGCCCGGCTTGTCGGTGGTGGACCTCCGATGAGCACGGTTGGCTACGTGCGGCGCGAAAGAAGTTCCGACATCCGTGCATACAACATGCACGGACGGGGTGGAAAGCCTTGGCGACCAAGGTGGTGAACGATGGAAGAAGGGTCCAGGGGTGCTGGACACCGGCGTGTCGCCGTCTGGGCGCGGCTCCGTTGTCGGCATTCGGAATCGCCAAAGCAGATCGCTGGGGAGACGCACGGATCCGTGGCCGTGGCTGGCGTGGCTGGCGTGGCCGTTTTGAGTCGCGCAAGTTTCTTGATCCACCCCCAGCTCAGAGCTC